ACACTGCATGCTGCTTCATCCTGTGTCCCTGACCCTTCACTACCACAGGTAATTCTTGCCCCTCAGTTCATTCTACTCACATTCTTATAGACGCTGTTCTCTGAGCTAAAGTATTCTTCCTCCAAATGCTCTTATGTGCTATTCTCCAACTTCACTTACAAATCCAAACCTTTAATATCCCTTTTCCTATTTGTCCTTTTCATTTACCACCAATAAAATGTTTCTTTCCCTCTGTTATTCCCTCCTCCCCCTTTCTCCCCTCTTTAATTCTTTCTTCCAGGGATGGGTTTAAACCTAGGTCAATACTCATGTTAGGCAAGCATTTGACCTCTTGGCTGGTGAAATAGCTGAGCCAGTAAAAGCTCTTGCACAAACCTGACAGCTTTGGGTATCTGAGTGTGATACCTAGAACCATGATGGAAGAAGAGAATCAACTCCCCAAAACTGTCCTATGACCACCAAATGTATACCCTGGTTCATGTGCCTACACACACACACACACACACACACACACACACACACACACACACACGAGAAAGAGAGAGAGAGCAGAAAGAGACATACCCACAGAAAAAGACAAAGAAACAGAAAGACAGAATAAAAAAAAATCTTTTTTGGGGAATATAAGCTTAGTATTCACTAAGTATGTTTAAATCAGAACCTGTCTCTTAAGAAAATAGCTATTTTCTAGGTGCTCCCCAGTCCAGCCATAGCTTCCGCAAGAGCTCCAGAGACAGGACCACTGAATCTCAGTGCTTCGAAGCCTTGGGAGTTGGGCCAGGGCATCCATATTGCTTACAAGACCTAAATGATTCCAGGGCAGGCAGAATGGAATGGTTAGTCAAACCATGTTCCTGGATTCCAAGTTTGGAATAGTCTCCCGGGATTCAGGCAGCCCGTTAAAGCTGTGCCAAACTAGGATATTGCAGATCCACGGATATGGTTAGCAGGGGAAGGTTGGTGATGGTTGGTGAGTTTGTGAATCTGTCTGCTGGCCCTGTGTGCAGGGCTTCTGTGGGAGGAGCACAGAGAAACCTCCATGGAAGCATCCAGCAGTCAAAAGAGATGGTGCATTGGAAGAGCAGCATCAGTTCTGACCTAATGGGCTGGTGGGGAGTGGGAGCCAGGCTCTGTGGACTTTGCCAGACAACACAGACCTCGGTGGTCACACTTCATTCAACAAACTCTCCGTCTCCTCCCCACTGTCCATAGTGATTTCATATGGATTCCAAAAGCTTTTCTCTTCCATTAGAGTCCCGAATCTATTACGTTATAATGTGTTTGTCTGTGCTCATTAACTATTCAGGAGGCTGTGTTGTCCAAGAGCTTATGTAGATAATGAGTAAATATTAAGTTCCTTACACCATTTAAAAACCTTGAAAATGGCTCTGACTCCCTGAATAATTTCACACTGGGAAATTGCTTTGTTCTTTAGATTTTTTTTTTCTGGTGATGACAATAATCTTCTCTTTGACCTCCTCTCCATATTTCGTATTTGAGAAATCACAAAAGTCAATTAAAAAAAAAAAGAACATAATTTCTTTCTTTAGAGGCACCTTCCAGGATGTTCTGAAAGTTAGAAAAACTGGATGCATTTACTTTTGGTCTCTGCTTAAAAGTAGAATTTTAAGCCCAATAATAACTCAGCATGCACCTGTTAAAGTAGTTCAAGTTTCAGTTTCTGAGCTTTTTGTGGGGGTCCTCTTTTCAGAGTGCTATTTTAGGGGTATGTGGCACTGTGGGAAGGTGGGACCTGAAAGCTGCAGTTTCTTCTGTTTGGTAATGATTCCTGCGGCTTCATTTTTCATGAGATGCCCTGGGACACAGGAAGCTTTGTACCAGGGGGCTTCACAGGGCACCCCATGGACCTCTACTGGAAGGAGCTGCAACCCCATGAAAGCTCAGGATACACAGTTGGAAGATGGTGTGCCAAGATGTCTTTGTTCAGTAATGACCCCTGTGTTCACTGTTTGTTTAGTCAGGACATCTTCTCAAGGCCTCTGAGAGAAGATAGCTAGGCTTTTTCCATTTATCCATTCCATAAACAGATGTCAGATACCTGTTGGGCATTGGGCATCTTCACAATCCTCACCCCACAGAGCTCCCACACTGAGCATGGTCTGTCACACAAAGAAATGATGGCACCAGGAACCAATGTCCTGTTAAGGAGCCTGGAAAGGCTAAGGCATCACAGGTACATAATGCAGGGTTTCTTTCCTTCTGGAGCCAGACAAGTCATTCTTGGAGACAGGTTGTGTCGGTGCTGTCTGCCAAGGAAGTGTTTACAGCTATGGGCATAAATGAGGACTCCCAGAGAGTGAATGTAGACGGAAGACGAGTGGAAGGCTGAGGGAAACTAATGTGGAGAGGAAGCCCGAGGAAGAGTGAACAGAAAAGCAAATCAGAGAAGCTGAAGAGGATGGCGGGCTCAGGTGTGCCAGTGTCACTCGTTCAGGTGGATTGAGTGTTGATTGTGTCAGCCCTGCAGAGAAGCCCAGTGAAATGAAGAGAATGTAGTGTTTGTGATCACACTGGGATGCCTTCATGTTAATCTGCTTTCTGCCACTACAATAAATGCCTGAAACATATAAAGAGAAAGATATTCAAACTCGTAGGCTTGGAGGTTATGGACAATGATGAATCATCTCGGTGCTTTTAGGCCTGTGTTGAGAGAGCACCACAAGGGGGATATACCTCCTCACTTCAGGAGCCAGGCAATGGGGGGGGTTCTGAGATCTCCTATGAAGATACAACTCCCACCGCCATCTCTTAAAGTGCCACCACCTTCCCCTGGCACCACTGTGGCTCTCCAACACATGGACCTCATAGGGGATATTCAAGACCAAAACCATAGCACCTTCATTCAGCTATTAGAAACAGTGAACATTCTAGATGTCCTTTTACGAGGGAGTTACAAAAGAAAATGTCAGTGTGCTAGCCACCCAGATGCTGACGTCACCAGGAATGAAGACAGGAAGGGAGTGGTCAGAAATTCTGTCAGCTGGCAGGGGCCACCATCTTCAGTGAAATAAAGGGAGTGTCCTGGAAGAAAGGCAGAAACTAGAAGGGCAGATGGCTCTACACTCAATAACATCAATGTAATTGGAGCTGAAGTTCTGTAGACAGAAGGGAACACTTCCACAAAAGAGGGCATTTCCCTTCCTTCTCAACTCCGAGACTCAAGCATGAAATAACCAGCAGTCAACGATTGAGAGGACTCCCAGAGCTGGGCTTTATGCCAGTGGTTCTCATCCTTCTAATGTTGTGACCCTTTAATATAATTCCTCATACTATGGTGACCATAAATTATTTTTGTTGCTACTTCATAACTAATTTTGCTACTACTATGAGTTGTCATGTATATATGTGATATGCAGGGTATCTGATATGTGACCCCCAAAGGGTTCATGACCCACAGATTGAGAACCACTGATCTATACAAATGAAAAAGGAGTTGATAAGATAAACAGAATCTTGTTGGGATTTCTCAGCAGCACAGGGAGAGGGTTTGAGAGGTATGAAGCTTTGAGGAGCATAAAGCTTTGAGCTTGACCATCACAGATCACCAGACAGAATTGTTGGATTTTTAGCCACCAGTAAGTTTCACAGACACGAGGCATGATGGAAGTACATCACAGGGAGCCTTGAACGGCAAACCAAGGGATTTCCACTTTAGTCTAAATGCCAAGGCCACTGGGCAGGGATGATATGCTGGTCCAAGTTTGAGCAGCAAACTACCATAGTCAAACTCATGTGAGCAGAGGAAGCTCCTAGAATGTTCCTGTCACAGGCAAGCTCAGGTCTGTTCAGGTTAGGAGAGTGGGAAGAGGCGCTTGTTTGAAACCTGCTCACTTAGAGAGCGAGGACACAGAAGAAGAGAGGGAGCGAGCAAGAGATGCTGCCTGTAAGGTCTGAAAGAACAGGCTTTGGAAATTCAGTGTTTGGCAAACCACGGTTAAACATTTACAGGTGGCCCAGCCTACGAGAAGGAGAGTGGTTACAGATGTTGCCAGTTTCCCCTATTGTTAACCCAGGAATAAAGGCTTTCACTTTGAGGAGGTTGAGACTAATAAAGGATCAGGTGGTTCTCAGAAATGCTGCTGATAGGTCCCGATAAAAGATCACCACATACACTTCTTACAGTGTCAATTTATTTTTCATCTGCACAGAACACTCTCAAGTGTTCATATTAGTTGTTTCACTCTCCCTGGTTTAACTTCAGGTTCTCAAGGCAGGGCTGGAAGCTTGGACTGTAGCCTGCCATAAGATTCAAATGTTGGCCTAAGTTACACCTCAGTCTAGGCAATGGCCCTCAGCCATCACAAGGCCGGTTCAGCTAGAGCAGCTGTTGGCTTTCAGTTTTGTAACCAGAGTGAGTTAGGACACTTAGGGCACCTCAGTTTTGTAACCAGAGTGAGTTAGGACACATAGGGCACCAGCCAGAGCAGGAAGAGGGAGTCGCTCTGACTGCCTTTTCTTTTCACACTTAAGTGAAGGCAGGAACAAATAACAGAGGAGGGGCTCTTCGGAAGTGGTTTCATCACACCCCCTGAGGCCAGGCCCTCAAATCACAGTTCAGCTCTGGCTAAGACCTGACTCATGCGAGTGAAACCCCACCCACTTTTGCCCATTTTCCTCCTTTCTGCTGACAGTAGTTCAACTTGCTCCTGAAATTTCGGGGTCTAGGTGTGTGATGAGATCAACAGAGGCTGCCACTGCTCGGTGCCTTCACTGGTTGGCCTCTTCGTTCCCAACAGGGAAACGAAGGGAAAAAACTGCTGAAGAGCTTGAGAAGGTGGAGGAGCTCCGCGAGAACCGGATTGGGAAAGCGCTGGAGGCGCTACACGAAGGACCCCAGGATCTGAGCGACCTCTTCCTCGCTGCTTTCCGCAGAACTCAGCCAGTTGTCCCCGGAGGTCTGGCAGGCCATGGGGCGTGCCCCTGCGAGTGGGGGCGTGGTCGAGGCGGGGCTTTGAGGCGTGGGCGTGGTTCTACGCTCGTGGGAGGAGCCGGGGCGGGAGGTGGCGCCGCGGAGGGGACCCGCGGCCCCGGCGAGAGCTCGCCAGCCCCGCCGCGATGCCCCCGCGCCCTGGACGTCTCCTCCCGCCGCTGGCCGGGCTGCCGGCCCTGGCCGCGCTCCTACTGCTGCTCGGCTCGCGCAGGGGTGCCCGGGCCCAGGAGGCGGCGGCGGACAGTGGAGCCGAGCAGGACCCGCACGCCAAGCACCTGTACACGGCCGACATGTTCACGCACGGGATCCAAAGCGCCGCGCACTTCGTCATGTTCTTCGCGCCCTGGTAACTGCAGCTCCGGCAGGCCCGCGGGGCCCCGCACCGGGGGTCAGGGGAGGGCGCGGGCTGTGCGGGGGGGGGCGTGGGCCGCCGAGCTCGGGCCTGGCCGCTGACGTGGCGCTAGCCGCCGGGCCAAGCTCGAGGAAGGGCGGGCCCCGAGGGGAGACCCGGGAAGGCCTCCCCGCCCCGCCACGGTGCTGGAGCACAGATACCCCCTGTTTCCCCCCCCACACACATACACATTCCCATGCACACACACAAGTCCTCTGCCCAGCTCCCCAAACTTCCTGTGCTGGCCGGACGCGGCCGGAGCCTGTCGACCACGTGCCCCAGCCTGGAGGGTCCTCCCTGCTGGCCCTTCATATTGGGTTGTATTGAGACATCTAAGGCCCTTGGAAATGTGATTTCACATTCTGTGTGTTGAGGGTGGGAAGAGAGAGCCTAGGTAGTGGAGTGGGGATTGCTCGACCCCTGGGATCCCGGAGTAGTGCCGGTTGTGGAGCCCCCGCTGCACCTTGGAGTGGATATGAGCTGTATTCTCAAGGCCTTTAACTCAAGGCTGCCTTCTGGCACCTCCTATTCTGTGCTTGTTTGGGGGCACCGGTCAGTTGGAAAAGTCCTACACCTTCTTGCTGCTCTTCTCCGATTGGGGCTTCCGAGTGCACCCCGCTGCTTTCTCAAGAGAGCTGCACCTCAGGGATTGCTCCGGACTTAGCAGTGCTCTCTGGCTGGGGCCTAGATGCTCGGAAAAGGAAGTTCTGTCTGGTCCAGAGTAGAAAGCAGCGTTTAGAGCGCAGGCCACTGGAGATGTGGGGAATGTGCCGGCTGTGTTTATTGCTGAGCTAAGTACTCTTTTCTCTGTCTGGGTAGGGACTGGTTAAGGAAAGGGGGTTAAGTGGTTAAGAACAATGAATGTATCCGTGGCATCCAGCTTATTCAATGATTGTGCCTTCCACAGTGGGAGAAACTTTCCTTTTAACCCTTTGTGGGGTTGTTTCTGCATTCCAATTCATTTAGGGATACATTAACTTTTAAGGGTCAGTTTGGCGCACAGCCAGTATCTGTTAAGAATGCGCAAATGGAATATATTGTTTCACATTCCCCAGAACAGCTGGCTTGAATCTGTAGCACTACCAATGAAAGAAAGTACTGCTAGCTTGCAACAGTGGGTGTTAATAGTTACTCTGCACGAGTATTCTGAGAGTACTGACTCCAATTTAGTACACCACAGGACACAGTAGAATAAACCTATGGGGTTTTAGTTTTACAAGAAAAATTGACATGCAGATAGAGGTGGGTTCTCTGCAGTGCTGGTGGAGTTTTAATTGTGGAATATTTCCAGTAAATAACCTGCAGTCTTTGCCAGTCAGGGTAATAGGTATCACACAAATTCTTTTTCACTATATTCAGGTAGATGTTGCTCCCTAAAGTGAGCCTTTAGTTGTTTGCTTCTTACTACTCTGCTAAAAATATTAGAGATATGTAGGTGCTCACCATGGCCTTTGAAAGCTAGATTTTTGTTGTTTGGAAGGGAAATTGAGGCAGGACCTCTCTGTGTAGCTGAGTTGACCTTGAACTCGTGATCTTTTTGTCTCCACCTATGGAGTGCTAAGATTTCAGAATAAGACTTAAGAATAATTAGAATACTGTAGGTCCCTACTTCTTTCTCAATCTGAGTGCCTAGAATGTTAGATGCTACTGGGGGCAAGGACGCTGAGTAATGAAAACATTGGCTTGTGTCTATTTGTTCTAAGCTTGGTGGCGGCAGGATTGTCCTGCTGTTGATTTTGTGCCAGCATCAGATCACAGTGCCTGTAGTGCCAGTTTGTGGGTCACACTGAATCTAAGGACGGTAAGGTCAAGATTAAGGTTAGGTGCCTTTGCTGTCACTTGGCCCCAGGCCACCTTCTAAATGCAGCTGGCTGTCTCAATAGTGCTGTAACCACAAGGGCTCCAAAACAAATGTCAGCTAGAAAGAACCATCGATGCTCCTGGCTGCAGAGGGGCATGCCTGCTTGGTGATGGTCAGTTTAATTTGGGGTGCAGAGAACTAAATCTTTGTCCTCATTTTAAATCTTATATTGTCATAAGAAACTTTTCAAGGATTCAGAGGATGCATCCAGCTTTAAAACAAGATCAGATTCCTCTAACTTCAGAACTGCTCTTGAAAATCCCTTGTGGCAGCCACCTGAAGGCAGTCACCCAGCAACATCTCATAACTGGGTTCTGCTCCACCATTAGAACCAATCCTGCTTTCTTTGATTAAGCACCAGGTGCCACAAGGAACAAACAGGAACATGGGCCAGGCGGAAGAGGCAGTCCACATGCCCCATTGTGTACACACTTAAGGAGTCTTTAGGGCTCTCCTTCTTCCACAATCCACCACCTTGCTGAATTCACAGAAGTTACATCCTCAAATACAGCTTCACTGTGTGGATTTTCACCCCATTCATTCATTCTGCTTACGTTGCCAGCCGCTTAGTGCACACCAAGTATTTGGACAGGACTGTGCTGGCTTTCTTGGCACTTACACTGAATACATAAGAAGAATACCAGTGATCTTCCAGAAAAAGGAATGATGCTGTATTTTAGGCTTTTATTTGTTTCTATATTTTATTTTTTTGTGCATGTGTATATCTGTGGGTTTGTGTGCCATGTGTGTGTCTCCAAGGAGGCCGGAAAAGGTGTCAGATTCCATGGAACCAGAGCTACAGATAGTGGGTCCTGGGTCCTCTGAAAGAGTAACCAGTGCTCTTAACTACTGAACTCTCTCCAGTCCTGTTCATTTGGGCCTTTATAAAGCAGGGCTTTGTCTTGGCTGTCCAAGAAAGTCCTAGCTTGAAGCAGACTTTTCAGGACTACCTTTATATGTCTGTTCAGGAAGTCAGGTCTTGTATCAAAAAAGAGACGTGCCACAGATTTTATTGAGACATTATTGAGTCAATACCAATTATTGGCGCCTGTCACTCTTGTAAGTAAGCACTTTTCTAAAGAATCCTTTCAGAAGGCAATACAGCAAGTAGTTATGTTATACACACCAATCACTTGTTTATTAGATAAGAAAGAAAAAAACAGCCCCGTGCCTTAATGCTGTGTGGTTGCACTCATTCAGAACTCAAGTGTGGTACAGCATGCAGATGAGAATGCAAGATGACCGTCATCAGATCAGCTCTGCCCTTCATGTCCTGTGACTAGAGAGATCCTGATGCTGTAGTACAGTGTGAAGAGAGGCAAGAAGCCACGTCCTTGCTAGTAGTATTAACTGATAGATGATTTTAAATTTTTTGTGTGTAACTAAACTCACACAGTCAATACCAGATATTTGATTCTACCGACCTTAGTTATTAGAAGGGCTGGGGATATAGCTCAGGTGGCACTGTGCTTGTCTAGCATGCACAAAACCCTAAGTTGAGCTCCAGCACCTCATTAGGCTGAGGGTGGTTATGCACACTTACAGTCCCAGCACTTGGAAGGTGAAGGTAAGAGAGGCAGAAGTTCAAGGTTATCCTCAGCTACATAATAAGCTCAAAGTCAGTGTTGGAGACTGTCTAAATAAATTAAAAGATTTAAATATATTTATTTTACGGGTTCTGATTAGAGAAGGTACAGAGTTGATTATTCTTGAGGTCTCCTTGATTTTTGTGTACATTTGGTTGTGCAGTCGAAGAGACCTGTCCTTGTAAATAATGGAGCAGTTATGGCAGAGTGCTAAGCAGGTTGGGAGAACGGGAGAATTCTAGAAAAGGAGGAAGAAAAGAGAGTGGATTACAAGTAGCCTGAGAGCCAAGGAAGACTTTCTGGAGGAAGTGATGCACAAACTAAATCTGAAGGGCAAACCGAAATCATCCAGGTGAAGTTTGGGGAAAATCTTGAGAGGGTGTATGTATACCTTGAGCTCCAGGAAACGGAAACACTGCAATTGAACCCATAGGCCAGCTGGAAGTCAAGGAGGTGGGGTCTGGACATAGAGGTCAAAAAGGAATGCAGGATAGTGGCCCGTTGTGAGCTATCCATCTGCTATGATTTGGGAAAAAGCAAGGGTGGAGAATTGACTGCTTGGTGGAGAAAGCTGAGGTAGTAATCTGGCTACCCTGGGACCTGGACCTCCATGTGCTCTTCCTCTGACCTCACTGTAGGTGTGGACACTGCCAGCGACTGCAGCCAACTTGGAATGACCTGGGAGACAAGTACAACAGCATGGAGGATGCCAAGGTCTACGTGGCTAAAGTGGACTGCACAGCCAGCTCCGATGTGTGCTCTGCGCAGGGTGTTCGAGGATACCCCACGTAAGTAGGAGGAAAGTGAATGCATGCATCTTTGTGCTAGGGTTCCCACAGTTGTGTATCTGCTGTCCCTGACATGCTGAAGCTGAATCTGTAACTCCCTTCATTGATCTGAGGCACTGGATGTAAGCAGGTGGTCCCTGCCTGCTATTAGGACAAGGTTATATTGAACACTGTGTATTATAGACACCCTTTGTACTTTGCACAGGAAAGCCTTAATTAAACTATGTTGGCTTTTCCAGTTTATGAGAAAATGAGCATTTGCAGGGCAGTGGTGGGGTATGGTTGCCTGAAATCCAGCCCAGGTGATGTTTCAAATATGGTTCACACAGCCTGCTCAGACTTCGTTATCGCTTTGGTTTGAACGGTTACCGCTACTGTAGTGCTGCTTCTCCTTGTTGGTGGAAGATCTTTCCTAAAGTTACATCCTCTGCAACTAGCCTCAGGTCTGTCTCTGTTGGAAGGAGGGTAACAACCAGAGTGCTGCAAGCCTCACAGGCAGCCACTTACTCCCTTGATAGGCATATGCATGGTTTATGAACCAGATGGTAACTGGCTGCCACACTCTAGATGAACGTCCCCCCCAAGACCGGTGTGGTGTGGTAAGGACTGGCTTTGGGGAGCACATAGAACCTTCAGGGTATGGAGACACTGGTGGGTGGTTGTTCATTGAAATTGTGTCCTTGAAGGGGATATTGTGCTCTTAGTCCCTCTTCCTGCATTCTTTTGTTTGCTTCATGTCTGCTGGGAGGAGAGGTTCTGTTAGGTTCTGTCTTGGTACAGACCAAAAGCAACAAAGTCAAGTTATGTTCTGGCCCAGTCATCTAAAATAGGGAATCAAATGCACTGTTTCTCTTTGTAAGTTGATGGTCCCAGCTCCTTGGTAGAGACAAAAAGCTGAGTGACAAACTGGCTCCTTAAATGAAAGAGGGGGGTCTTAGTCACTTTTGTTGCTATAATCGCACTGTGGACTGGATAATTTACACACAGGAGTAAAGCTGTATTCAACCTCTCGGTCTGGAGAGTCAAAGTTGATGGGCTCCGTGTGATGACGGTCTTTTTGCTCAGCAGGGTCCCGGGATGGTACAAGGTGTTGCACAGCATGGCAGAAAGCTTGCTTGCTTGGGGCTCTTCATATAAAATCACTAATGGAGTCATGGGGGCCTTGCAAATATGATCTTAACCTAATTGCTGCATAAAGGTCCTGCCTTTTCCTGCTTCTTGGTACCTTACAATGAGAATTAGATTTCAACATGGATTTGAGTGGGACAATCACATCAAAACAGCAAACTATGTATGGCCTTCGGGACTCCAACCAAGAGGTCTTGGAGTTTCTACTTTGTCAAAGCAGGTGATTGTACTTTTCATCTCTGTCTCTCTCTGCTCCTCCTAGGAGATGACTTGGGCCCATGACCAAGGCATCCTGTGTGATGGAGTCTTCCAAAAATAGCCATTATGGTGCAGGTGCAGGATCTCATAGACAACAGTATCTGTTCAGACCATATGTCCAGTACAGGAGGGAAAAGCAGTTTATCAAAGAGGGTTATGCTGTTCCATGGCTTAGCGAATGGAGCCACTCATAGTAAGCATGTTTTATCACATCAGTTTAATCAAGACAACCCCTTTCCTCCAGACATGCCCACTGGTCAACCTCTGACAAGACTCCCTTCCCTAATGATTCTAGATTGCATCATGCTGACAAAAGTAACCATTGCACAAGCTTAACAGGGTTCTATGTGGTCAAAGTTAGAGGTGTTCTGTACTGCAACATCAGGGCTCCATGGATATCACTGACAAATTTAAAAACACCTTGCATTTTGCATCCTGACTTATTTAGAAAATCAAGTCCTCCTGAGTAAATCAGGGTGTGTGTGTGTGTGTGTGTGTGTGTGTGTGTGTGTGTGTGTGAATCAAATGGGCATAAGTTCAGGTTGTAGTGAGTGCCGTCTGAGAGGGATTCCCATGTTGATTAGGGCCTTGCAGAAGTGCCCAAGGACAAGCTTTTGTTTGTCTTTGGTCTTTACAGAATGCAGGAGGCAGAGTGTTGGGTAGGTGGTTGCACCGAGGCAGGCAAGTATTACCTGTGTGTGCTTTTACTTCCTTTCAAACAGTTGTTGTTTCAAAGCCTTATCAGAAGATGGCTGTAGATGCTAGAGCTCAGGTTTGTGTCAGAATACAGGCTTTAAAAACATCAGTTTCCTCCTGGCACATTTAAATGAAGATGGGATTAGAGAAGGAAGCCATTTGGACTTCATAGCCCCTAGAGATGGCTGACTTATGTTCAGGATAATGTTTTAGAGTGTCTGTCTGAGGCAGGCAAGAATGGTTTGGGAGGACATGGCCGAGCAGGGGCTGGACTGAGTGGGGATAGCACCAGTATTGATCCGAGTTCCTTCCGAAACCTCCTTGGTGGGTGGGTGGGTGCATGCGTGCGTGCCTGCGTGGCTGCTTTCTGGCTTCTCATGGCTTTGGGTTTGCTTTTTGTTACTCTTACAGAATAGTCAAGATACTTAGAGGAAAGGTTACTATTAAGTTCCTGGCCCCCCTGAACCAGAGTGAAACTTTGTCTCAATTCCCTCACTCTCAAAAGAGGGAAGACTTATTTGATTGGCAGTTTTGGAAGTTTTAGGCCATGGTCAATTGGCCCTGTTGCTTCTGAGCTTGCAGCAGCGTGGCTTATAGTCATAGTGGTGTGATAGAGAGGACTTACTGTCAGTCAAGAAGCAAAGAGAGAAAGGAGGGGAGGGAAGCCTGGGGTCTCAATCTAGTAGTCAAGAGTATACCTTCACAGTGACCTGAGATCTCCCACTAGGCCCACTTTTTAAAAAGTCGGGTCACCTCCCAGCAGCCCCACAGTGGAAAACAAGACTTTGATAGATGGGTTTTTCAGACCCAAACTATATTAACATCAACTCTTTACATCTTTGGAATCTGTTACATCTTTGGAATCTGTCTGTCTGTCTGTTCACCCACCCACCCATCCATCCATCCCCAGGTTTGCTATCCTCCTACATCTGCCTTCAGAAAACTCACCATGTAACTTGGTTTCCTTGTATAGCCATGGAACTTCATTTTAAGGCTTCTGTTTTAAACAAACACACACACACAGGTTGGGTTGGGCTTTTAACAGCTCTGTTTTAGAGATCACAATCAAACCCCTAGTGTATCAGTTATGGTATACTTTGTCAGAGTCTGTGCAGAGTGACACCCCAAGTGGGGGGTTTTCTCTTCTTTAACTTCTCAGGAAGAGATACAGATCACCAGGAGACACACGTATTCATAGAAAGTTTGTGATACAGACATTGGGGGCTGAACTTGGGGCCAGGAACCTTCACTCCATCTGCTACCTCCTTCACCTCTGTCAACTGAGGATTAAAGTTGGGGCTGCAGTCTGATGGGAGGGTCTATAACAGCTCTCCAGCTCTCCCTGGACCCTTTCAATTTACTAAAGAAGAATCTCACACTTTGGGTATTAAGTGTGTGCCTCTGTGCCTAGCTTACATATGTTCTTCATTGGAGGTGCAGTGTAGTGGCTAAATCTACTTAGATTTTAGCTTTTCCTTGTGTAGATGGTCCCAGACTTAATGATAGTTTGACTTGAGATCCTTCATCTTCATGATGGAGCAGAAGCAGCCTGATATAGCCATTCCACTTAACGCCTTTAGCATAGTGAGTTACAAGAGGCATTGAACACTGTTCTGGTATCAGGTGACTTTACCCACCTGAGGCTACCATGTGTGCTCTGAGCACTTGTTAGGCTGGGTGGGATGTTTGTTAAGTAGTTGTTTCCAGCTTCCTGTGGTTTTTAACTTCAGATGTGCTTGTGAGGAGGTAAACCTACTGTAAGTTGAGGATCATTGTCTCCATGTGCCTGAGGACGCTGGGCATCCGCTCATATGTTCTGCATAAGGCCAGTCTGCCCTTCTAACTGCCAAATCTAGCCTGTGTGCTGTTTTCCCCTTTAGGTCGTGATGTTGGTCATGGAGCCTAGTGTCTTGGGTGTATGTACTAAGCACGTACTTCACCGCTGAGCAACATCCTCAGTTGTTTTCAAGACAGGGTTTTACTGTGACCTGTAAACTGTTTGCCCCAGATGTGCTATCCTCCTACTTCAGCCTTTGGAGAACTCCACCATGTGGTTTGGTTTCCTTGTAGCCATGCAACTTCATCTAAGTCTTATTTTTCAAAGCCTTCATGTAAAGGGAACTTAGCTGTTTGATAATGGTCTGAGTGGTTGTGTCTTGGCAAACATGCTGACATTCTAACCCCCAGTGTGTTGGTATAGGAGGTGGACATTAAAAGGGGGCTCCAGAGAGTTCTCTTGACTTTCCCGGGAGGACACAAGGAGAGGGTGCCATCAAGGAATCAGAAAGCCACTGTAGACATTGGATGTATGACACTGTGAATTTGGACTTTTGCCTATAGGAAATGCATTTTTATGCTTTATGGGCTGCCAGGTCATGGTGTGTCACCACAGTCCACACTGCCTGTGACACTCCACCAACATCCTAACCTAAAAATCTGTTTCTGAGCATTGTATCACTTCACACAATCCAAATTATTTCTGGGAGGTGTTAGAGGGCTCCTAGGTGAGCAGTCCTACTACCAAGCCCTTGTCTGTTGTGGCCCTCATCACCTTTCTTCTGACAGGAGCCATATGTGTAATATAGTCTTGACAACTTCTGTGAAGTTTCTTCCAAGGCATCATGACTGGAGTGATCAAAGTCAGTGGTGTGAGGTTCGCCCTTCGGTGATGTCTTTTGCTCACCCTTAGAGGAACTGTCTCTCATCTCAGCAGATTCCTCAGAGGCCAGTTAGTAGAAAAGTTTCTTGCTCCTTGGGGATGCAAGCAGAGATGTGGGAATGGGAGTGGACAGATGGAAAAATGAGTACATGGACTGCAGCAGCTAGCAGCTAGAGTGCCCCGATGACTGGGATCCATCAGTGACTAGGTATCCATCTGCCATGGTGGGCTGCAGAAGCACCTACTGCAAAACTGTGTTTTGTCTGCTGTGACCCTAAGTGAGGCCCAGAGGCAGCAGGAAGAACAAGGTAGACCAGAAGTTCAAGGCTAGGAAGCAAAAGGGATACTAACAAGGTGAACCCTGGGCGAAATACTGAAGGCAGGTTTAACTCACCCAGAAGTTTTCAGTCCAATTGTATTTTCCCTGAGCAACATCAGAAATGGGTGAAAGTTTGGGATATAGGACATGCTACTTCCTGCAACATCGTTTTTGTTTCCCTCTGAAGCTTTATCTGAGTGGCATATAAGTACGTGGCTACTGCCACTGGCAGCTTTTTTACTGCATGGGTTTGCTGTCGACCCAGAGTGGCTTTTAAACTTTTAAACTCTTAAACTCATGCTCTTCCTAATCTGCTGTTGTTCTTTCAGCCTAAAGTTTTTTAAGCCTGGCCAAGAAGCTGTGAAGTACCAGGGTCCTAGAGACTTCGAAACACTGGAAAACTGGATGCTGCAGACACTGAATGAGGAGCCACCTGTGAGTGTCCCCTCTTCCCTCCCCTTACAGCCCAGAGGCCAGAGGAGGTGAAAGTTTACACTGCTTTTTGAGTTGTAAACAGGTCTCTCTTCCTGTGCCCCTTCTGGTTGCCTGGATGAGTTTAAATTTGCACAGAGGAGCTCAAGAAACATAGCATAGCACCTGAGTGTTTCTGCGGGGTGCATCCTGTTGTCAGGGCAACTGTAGGTTTCGGATTCACTGTTGGGAACAGGCAGCCCACCATACTGATCCCTTGGTTCCCTTGGGCAATAACCAGATACAGATTCTTCTAACAGTCTTCAGTTCCTTTCTAAAGTCCTCGGGTAGCTCTTGTTTACTCCACTGTGTTATTCAGTGTGTAGCCCAGGCTGGCCCTGAACTGAACTCAGCCCCCCCTCCATCTGCCCCCCACTACCTCTACAGAGCTGGGATTATAGGTTTGTGCCACCATACTTACGTCTCTGCTCTTGTTTCTGAGTGCTCCTTTTGTAGCTGAGTAACTTTACCTTGTCTATCAAGTAGTTTACCAAGACTTCCTTAAAGTTCTATGAATTTTTTATATGAAAGTTAAATTTTTAGTAAGCTATAATAGTTTTTCTACTTCATGCTGAGTTGTTTAGGTGGCAGTTGGGGCCAGCCAGCTCACAGTCCTTGGAGCTGCCTATGTCATGGAGGCCATCCATAACATTTATCAGTTTCCACGCTTTCCTGAATTAGTACATTTAAGCTGCAGCTGTCCCTTGCATCTAGCAGACCATCACATGGGGAGTGTCATTGGCAAATGATGCATTGTCTCAGATTTGTGGGTTTACTTTTCAGTTTTCTTTACGCCATTGAAGGCACAGCAGGACTACCAGGCTGGAGGCGAGCCCCTCAGTCCCTCGGTTCCATTTTTTATTTAAGCACCTTTCTTAAAAGTGACTGATAATAACTTGAAAATAATTTCTTAATATGAAAACATTCAGACATGTACAAAACTACAGTTGTCTCTGTTTTGCCAGCCTTGTCTTCCTTTCCTCTTGATCTGTCCCCGTAGCTTGGTAACATGGCCATTATGGCACTTTCTTGTGAGTGCCATGAGCAACCCTGCGTTTGCACCAGTGGCTGGGTTTGACTGCTGGAGTCAGGCAAGACCAGGCCCACATCAGAACATCCTGTTCAGTGCTTTCTGCTGGTTCTCCACTCTTAGCTCACTTGGGCTTCCCCCACTGGCTGTCCACAGGGCACTTCTTCCCTTTGCTTCTTGATCCTCGCTTTCAGGCCTGAACTGGCTTTACTGATACTGTAAAACCCTTAGTAAATGCTCAGGTGTTTCCCTGCATCTCCCTGCGTGTAGGCGCCATCAGAACACTGTAACAGTGTTGCTTACTGAGGCTGATCTCGAAGCCTTCATTTTGTTCTAAACCATAACGATCATACACAATTCCTTTAGTGTCCTTCTGTATGTGGGTGGTTAGATAGGGCTGGGGTAGACTTTAGTGGTTTGTGGTGTGTTGGCAGGACTGGAAAAGTAGCCAGCACTCCCTCATTTCACATCTCTGATGACTGTCGAGCATCAGGAGTTCTGAATATAACTGCACTGGGAACAGGAAATTGCGGCTGCTTATTGTGTTGGAGCTGGGCACTGCCTGGAAGGCTGTGTACAGCTGCATGTGATCCCAGCACTTTGTTTGAGCTCCACCTCTCACTGGCGCCATGTTCAAGGGTGTGTGACTCCTTAGCCACGATCTTTACTCTGTGCATGTCCCAGCTCATCAGAAACTTTCCTGCCTCACATTTGAAACCTCCATTACTGTTTGAAACAGCATTGTTTTCTCTATGAAAGTGTTCCTTTTTCAGAAGAGTAGTTGTGAGGTAAGGGAGAAAAATGTAAAGAGGAGGTAATCGTCTCAAAAAAACTTTAAAAGTAAACTTTGCACTGAAGAGGGAAAACTTTGCACTACTAATGGGATACCTTGTCCTGCACCTGCTGGCAGATGGCAGCATAGATGTGTGTGGAGGCCTGCCTCCTCTTTTGGAAGGACAGGCTGGGAGGGCGGTGGGCTATCCAGGCTCAGCACAGGTGTCTTGAGGGTTTGTCATCCTCAGTGTAGGAGAGAGATGGCTGCAGGGAATCTTGCCTTTGGCATGCCAGAACCAGTCACGTAAGCCTCGTGTTTAGTGTCCCTAAGTGAGCAGTGGGGACTCTCAGACAATCGCCAGGAAGAACGACAGTAACAGTATGCTTTCTTGTGGCAAAATTTAAATATGCACACTTTTGAGGTGCTGTAAATTAAAGCCAGGGCCTTGACTCGAGGCAGGTATTCTATCCCTGAATCATACTCCCAATCCCAAATATGTAGTATTTGTTTCTGTGTGCAAGTGCTGGGGCTGGGAGTGGGCAATTGTATTTTGACACATACTTTCACGTATATATAATGAGATAGCTTGGGGATGAGCCTCAAGTCTAGACATGAAATTCATTAATGTTTCATAATTTTGTTATAAGTGCCTTTGTGTACATCTCAAAGGTAATTTTTGTACAATGTGTGACTACTTTCTGACTTCAGTCTATGACATGAGGTCAGTGTGGGTTTCCCATTGTGGTACCTGTTGTGGAATATTAGTTTAAGATGTGTTACATTTGTTTATGCTATGGAATATTTGCTTAATGATGCAAAGATGTGTTGCATTTGTTTAACTCTGTGAAGCTGTGTTACTTTGCCTGCCTAAAACACCTGCTTGGTCTAACAAAGAACTGAACAGCCAATAGCCAGACAGGAGAGAGAAATAGGAAGGCAGAGAGAATAGGAGAAATCTAGGCTCAAGAAAAGAATAGGAAGAGCGAGAAAAGGAGGAGAGAACACCAGGGGCAGCCACCCAGTCACCCAGGCAGCCCAGAGTAAGTGGGAAAGAAAGACATACAGAATAAAGACAGGTAGAAAGCCCAGAGGCAAAACATAAACGGGATAGTTTAACTTAGAAAAGCTGGCTAGAAACAAACCAAGCTAAGGCCAGGTATTCATAAGAATAAGTCTCTGTGTATATATTTGGGAGCTGGATGGCAAGCCCCAGAGAATTAAACAAAATGAACTACAGGTGCCTGCTCAAAAAAGTTCAGGTTTTGGAGTATTTGTGGATGGTGTTAGGGATGAGAGAAGTCTAGTGTATGTGGCCAGGGGACAAAAGCAAACATCGGTCTATAGCCCTGGTCTTCTATTCATTTCTTTGTAAAAATATTTATTTTTATTTTTCATTATGTATATGCATATATCTGTGTGGAGGTATGTGCACACGAGTGCAATTGCCCATGGAGGTTAAAAGAGACTGTTGGAGTCCTTGAAGCTGGAGTTAGCAGGTGGCTGTGAGCTGCCAGTCGGGTGCTGGGAACCAAACTGTGGTCCTCTCCAAGAACAATACACACTTAACTGCTGGGCCATCTCTCCAGCCCCCTTTGTTTGTTTCTTATTGCTAGAATTTTATATTTGTTTATTCTTGTTGAATGACTAAACTGGATGTTGGTTGAAATGGTAAGCCATCCACTCTGTCCTGCTTGGCCTTGGGAGCAGACAATTTCTCCGCTAGGAGATCAGCTTTTGTCTATGTGGCATCTTGCTGAGTTGGGTTCTCTGGGTATCTATCTGTGTTAGTAAATAAATTTGCAGAGACAGTTATGATGAGGTGGCTGCTGACCTTGATTTCATCTCCTTGATTTCCCTTGTCCTCTTCACTGCCATCCTCTCTAGGCTGTCTTTGGTGAAGAGGGCCCTGTGGAATTGTAGTCTATAACCATGTGTATTCTGTGTCTCTGGTGTACTATGCTCTGCTGAGCCCTGACTGTTAGCATCCCCTATCACGTCTCCCTGCTGTTGGAATATTATGTGTTCAGTGGACTCCACACATGCAGTAATGTGGGAACCTTCAATTGTGGCAGGGCTAGTGTTGTAGGTTCTCCATACCTCCTCCTTTCCCCATTCTCCCTATTCTGGAAATTCTGTCATCGTGTGTGGACCTCTACAAGGCAGATAGCATCTATAAGGGTTGGGGTCTGCTGTATATTTACTGCCTTGCACTGGAACTCCACCAAGGCCTGTAACATTTGCTGCCCCCAATCTCCTTTCTCCTTCATCGCCATCAAGCTGCCGTCTCTCTGTCTCCCACACTGTGGAAGTATTCCTTGGGTTCTTCTTTGTAGTAGCCTGCTGTGTGTTCCTGTTGGTGAAAACGGATCTGTTTCTTACATTGAACCATTTTACTGTTCTCTGAACCTTCACTGGGATGACTTCTGGTCCTCACTGGCCTATGCTGCCTGGTGAGGTCATCTGGGCCTGTGTTGACTGTGGTGCCTGGCTTGGTGTCAGTGGCTCTGGGCATGGGTTGTGGCTGCTGGATCTCAGCCTGGTGTTCATGGTTATGATGATGAAGTGACTTGGATTGACTGAGGCTCTTCCTGAGTGTGATGGGAATGAGACTGGAGTTCCTCGGGGCTCTCTCAATTCACACGTTTTAAATAGCTTTTATTATAATACATTGTTGTGATTTCTATTTTATTATTATTAAATCTCATTTACAAATTAAACAACTGTCATAGGCATGCATACTGAGGAAAAGCAGCAGATATGGGGCGTGGTTCTCTATCCATCATTTCAGGCAGAGGCTTTGGGATGTGTCACCTACAGTAAGGGCTGGCTGCTTTGCAAGGCTATGCATTTCTGTCCCAGACCTTGTCATGTGAATTGCCTTCTTAGGTTTAGTTTACAAGGCCATCCCATCCATGTCTCTGCTTCCTGTGACTTGTCTGGTTCTTATCACGGACTTTTCTGTCACTCTTTGGTGGAGTTTCTTCCTTGTTCTCCCTGCCACTGGTAGGAACTGAGGGTCACCAGGACTGCTCCCTTGTAATTTTACCTCTAGCTTTGCCTATTTTTCTACCTTTGTGTCTTTAGCTCGTACCTGTGTAGAGCCACTCATTGGAATTTTACCTTGAATCCCATGGGGAATCTCAGACCAGGTCCAGGGAGAGGGCATGGTTTGGGGTTATGCAGACTTTACCTTGTTCCCTTTTGGTTGAGTTTGGGGTTGAGGCAACTGTTCCAGGGCCTCAGTGCTATAGGGTGGGTGTGGTGCTAAAGCACCTGGAGTACTTGGTGGAATGACTTCCTGTCTGGCCTTGCTCAGCACAGGTGTGAGATAGACAGGTGAGGATGGTTCTGGACAGGGACAGGACACTGTACTGCATCAATTGCATCCCTAAGGACAAACCCACAGATAATTGTTTTGCTTCTTATTAGACACCAGAGCCAGAAGCGGAACCACCCAGAGCCCCTGAGCTCAAGCAGGGGTTGTATGAGCTCTCAGCCAACAACTTTGAGCTGCATGTTTCTCAAGGTAAGGATGGAACTGTGACTATGGCTCTGGGCTGGCTTTTTCTCTTGCTTTTTAAGGGCTTGTAGCAACATCTAGTCGTATCTCACATTGTCTCTTCAGCATTTCTATAGCGTCTTTCCTCCTCTTTCACTCTTGTCGGCCTGCTGCCTCAACTTCTGCTAAAGCTGTGAGCACACGAGGTGCACACAACACCCTTGGATAAGAAAGTCTTTATTAATGGTAGTCATGTGTTTACTGTCTGGAGGCAGAAGCAAGCACTTTTTTTTTTTTTTTTTTTTTTTTTTTTTTTTGTTTAAACAGTGTACTAGGACTGTTACAACTATGAATCAAATTAGGTGTTCTTTATACTCCCTTTTTGGAATTGGTCTCTTAAGTATATACCTACAGTCCCCACTGTGAGTAAAGTACAAGTCTCCCTTTGTTAACACATGGACATGTTTCAGAAGTTGGCTCCAGCACATGTGGCTAGAAAGCAAACACAGCTTCCTTGCTGGCTCCATTATCAAGTGCTGCCACGGAAAGCAGCCCCCCTGGAAGACTGGCTCCTACACACTGTGAAAAAGGACTTAGAACTGCATCTGCCCATGAAGCTGGTGCCTGCGGGGAGCCAGGCCTCCTCCTCACTGCCTGTATTATTCTTCAGATACTTTTCATGGTGTCTCCCATTACTACTAGGATGAGTTATGTCATCTGCACCAGCACTCCAGCCATGGGACCTCGGTGTTTCCCCTACTGGGAAGTCAAACCAACTCGGGCTCTGTGTAGAATGTGCACCCGAGTCACCTTGTCATAGCCAGTCCTCCACAATCCAGCCAAGCCCCACTCAGAGCCAGTGTCTCCTGAAGGACACACCCTGCAGCCCCCATGTGGTGGTGTTCCAGGGCTCACTGAGGCTCTTTCCTCAAAAGGCTGCTAGGGCTCCCTGCCCTTGCTGGCTTCCCATCAGAGTAGCTTGGCTTTTGGGGATTCAGTCTCCATCCTGCTGCCCAGGGTTGGTAATTCACATGTCTGCAAAGAGACGGTCTTAGCCTTGAAGATAAGTTGCTCATAATTTTAAATAAGTGATTCACCATTTCCCTGAAATGCATTATTGTCATAGCAAGAAGACCCTGGCCTCAGAGTGCCAGGTCCATCACACTGTGACATCCACTGGGGGTTGGTGCTCTTCTGATTTGGGGTTGCTGTCAGCCTGTGTCCAGAAAATAATGTTGTGAGGACTTGATTTTTTTTTTTTTTTTTTAAACTAGTCAAAGTGTTTTTTGTTTTGTTTTTAACCTGCTTTTTTGGCAAAATATAATGTAAGTACAGAAAGCAAAAGCAGAGCTTAGTGACTTTTAAGACAGTTTTCTGTGACCACTGTCCAGGTCAAAACCACAACCTGTTGTGCACCACCCACACCCAGGCCTCTCTCCCGCTCTCTCTCCAGGGGCCTTTGGGTGGGCCCATGCCTTTTACTCATGGCCTCATAGCTCAGGTGTGTTACTAAACACTAGACTTCAGTTTAGTCATGTGACTTATGGCTCAATGTAATGCTTTTCTTCCCCGCCCCCAAGTTTATGTTGGATTTTATGGATCTTAAATGCTTGTTTTTGTTTTTTTAACTGCATTGAAGGCTGAGCGTGTGTGTATAAGGCTCTGCCTCCCTGCATGCTCTCCAGCATTTCTTCCTGTGTTGTCTACTGAGCACAGAGTTTGTGGACCTGCAGAATTCCCCACAGTCTGGACCCTGCTGCTCAATCTCTGGTGGATTCACACATTTCCTTTTTTGGTTTTCCCCTATATTCTCTGGGGATGCTGGCAGGCCTTATGGCTGCCAGGGGCTCTGCAGCTCTGTTTCCGTGATTGTGATTGGAGCCGCACTGATGGCCACCGTCTGGCCCCACCCTCATCAGACTTGTTGGGTGGTAAAAGCGGCAAGGTGAATGTACCCTTCTTTCCCTTTTTGCCCCTTTTCTCTGTGTGAGTTGGTTCTCTGTTACCCTTCAGAGATGACCACTTTGATTTTGAGTTACTGTTTGGAACTCCGATATAAACACATGTGATGGCATGTCCCTTTCTCCCAGAAGGGCTTGAGTTCTGTGAGTCAGAGAACAGAGCTGTCATCTTCAGTTCAGTATCTGGTCTCCTGGGATGTAAACCACGGTGCTTCTTTCCCTTCCCCTCCGCCTCGGCCTTCCCTACAGGCGACCACTTTATCAAGTTCTTCGCTCCATGGTGTGGTCACTGCAAAGCTCTGGCTCCAACCTGGGAGCAGCTGGCTCTGGGCCTTGAACATTCTGAAACTGTCAAGATTGGCAAGGTAAGTGCAAACGCTTGTTAAACTGGAAACTGTCTGCTTTGGGCTGGATTAATTAGCAAAGTAGCCCATTATTCATTCCGTGTGCTAAGTCGAAAACTTGATTTATTAATTCCAGTTAGTGTGCCACTTGACAATTCATTTCACCTTCACAGATGGCAGCCTGGTTTTAGAGTCTGCTGGCTTTTCCACAGCCTGGAGATAAATTATGGCCTTGGCTGATTTATTCTGAAGGGATGGCCAATTCTGAGTTGGCAGCCTTGGAGCTATGCAAAGATATGGGGTCGAGCCTTGTAGAATGTTCTCTGGATGTCCATGGAGCTCAGCCAGTTGCTTTCCTAAAGGGTCCTGGGATCTGCACTGACACAGGCTCATAGCAGACCCTCATGGCGAGCCCTGCTTTGCTCTGCTGTCCACAATTCCTTTCAATTGTTCATACAGAGAAGCCAAAAGTAACATGTAACAACTTCTGTTACAAGGTCTTCTTGAACTATCCGGAGCAGCTCCTGGGCTACTGTATACTTTAATCTCATTGACTTTCTGACCGTCATCAGACACTCGCCCTTTGTGGAATTCCTGGAGAAAAATCTCCCTTTCCCACTTTGCCACAGGGCTTCTCTGCACACTGGAGTGGAGCTATGTATCTGGGATGAAATCAGAAGCAGAGCCTTGGGTTTGGGTAGACCTGATGGGCTGACCTTGGTTGAGATGTCTCCCCTCAGTTACTCCTTTGCAGAAGGGAGACAGGATGAATTGCGTGTAGTCATGGACATGAGAATTTGCCACTCAGCATGGCCCCCGGGGTGGGGTGATGCTGGGTAAATGGTAATCCTCCATATGCATTGCATGGCTCTTCTCCTTTGCCTGCTATGTGCTTTCTGAGCCCTATTCCGTGCTGTGATTATCTCAGTCATTGAACAGTGTGTGGAGATAAGTGCGTCACCGTGCATTCTGTCTTGACCCCATCTTTGTACCCTTACTTAAAGGTTTTTTTTTTTTTTGTTTTTTTTGTGAGAGATGATTTATCCAGGCTCTCAGCAGAAGCAGGCATGAGCAGACATGGGCTATAAGAGGCCTTCATTGCTAGGCACTTGGGGCTACTTTAGACAGGACCCTGGAGAGTGCTTGTGCCCCTCACAGACCTAGCTTCAAGCTGGACTTCATTTGAATACTTGAATGGCTCTCTCTTCAGTCTTACAGCTTAACATAGTTTAAACCCATTATTAATATACTGAAAACCAGCTTAGTTCTGGTTGGATATATTAGTGCTGATAAAAATTTTAAAAATAATGCTTGTAAAAGTATCAGGCAAGCAGGATCTTAATTTACATGAAGCAATCTGAGCCAGGCCTGATGGTACATGTCTCTAACCACAGCTGTTCTGGAGTCTGAGGCAGGAGGGCCACAGATCCAAGGCCAGCTGTGGCAACTTATTGAGACACTATCTCAAAATACAAATATTTTAAAAGGGCAGGGGATGTAACTCAGCAGTAGAGTGCTTGCCTCATATGCACAGGGCCCTGGGTTCAGTTCCCACCAAAATAAACAGCTATTGTGACCCTTGCTTGGACAAGCTACAGTGCTACACTTACCAAATGTTCTTATTAAGCAGGGTCTACTTGCTCCTACTTGTGGGGGCATAAGCACAAAAATCAAATTGCAGGGACCCATGCATACCACTGAAACTGTAACTCCTGTCTTGATCTGAAACTGTAGAACTATGAGAGATAGTAGGTTTCCATGGCTTTGGGACCTGCCTGGGTTGAGTGTCTTCCTCAGAGTAGCCTGGCTCACACCCCTTCCCAGTGTCAGGGGAGGCTTCCTAAACCTGCCATTTTCAGTGGAATTGAAACGAATATCTTCAGACAAAACTTCTCACCGTATACCATTAGTATGGATGATATTGTGGGTGGCTTCTAGGCAAAGTCTTTCTAAAGCTTGCAAAGTGCTGCCATGGATGCCGTGGGATCTGGATTTAAAACCTTGCCTTTTAAAAAGTATTAAATTGTCTGGTAATGCCTTTTCCCAGGCTATGAAGAAACTAACTGGGTATTTTATTGTACTTTGATTACAGGTCGACTGCACACAGCACTATGGACTCTGCTCAGAAAACCAGGTTCGAGGCTATCCAACTCTGCTCTGGTTTCGAGATGGCAAGAAGGTATGTCTTCAGCCCCTGTGTGCTGTATGGGGATAGTCCTTCCATCAGCCGTTGCAGCTGAGTTACTGAGAGTTTACAGGGTTAGGAAGTGGCCACTGTCAATGGTTGGAGGAATGTGTTCAGTAGAATACAGTATGTGTGTTTTCCTAACTGATAAGACCTAGTAGATAGGAAAACTGACATCCGTCGAACTGTTCTGAGGCAATTTTGGTAGCTTGGATTTTCGTTGGAATTAGACACCTTTGCAGGGCTCAGAACAGGATTAATGCTCACTCTCAGTGGAGTTCTGTTCCCCGCCCTCTTCCATGCCTTGCCCATGGTCAGCATCTCAGGATCTTCAAGCAAGTAGGATAGATGGATGGCTAGCCCCTACTTTAGACTCTGATGTATATAGCTTGTGTGTGGGGGAGGGGGCAGGGGTAGGGGTGGGTGTTGTGAACTCTTAATTTCCCATCTAAGTGGAAGATAGCACAAGACAGTTGGAACTGAGACCCCTGATGGGGCTCTAAGTGGGAAAATGGGGTGGGGAGGCATGTGAGAACGCTGGCAGCGTCACCGTGGCCTGTGTCTTGGACAGGTGGATCAGTACAAGGGAAAGCGGGACTTGGAGTCACTGAGAGACTATGTGGAGTCACAACTACAGGATCCAGAGGTGGCCCCGGAGACTGTCGAGCCCGCAGAGGCCCCAGTGCTGGCTGCTGAACCCACAGGTGACAAGGTGGGTGCCTGTCAATGAAGGGAGATGGCCCTGCCTACCTGCAGAGTCTTCTCGGTGTGAAATGGTTTCTTGTCTACTGTTACAGCCAAGGTTGAGGTAGAAGTGAGAAAACCCTGAGAGAAGGTACTTGGTGTCAAAAGTCTCCAGAGCTTGTCCTTTTGCCCTAGTTACTTGCTGTGATGTCTTTCCTGCTGCCCTGGCCCCATTCTGTTTACTCCAGAACTGCTGTCATTTTACTTTGGCCCTGTAGCAAAGGCTCCTGGGAGATCTGCAGCAGGAAGGGACTGGGTAGCCAGATCACATAATATTTCATTTGTTTTACAGCCTCTGTCCTTATTCATCCAAGGATCTTGGGTTTTCAGGCTTATTTTTTATTACTTTTAATTCAGTGTGTAGGTGGGAGTGTGTATGTGCAGGTGCCTACAGAGGCATCTGATCCCCTCGACCTGGAATTACAGGTGGCTGTGAGCTTCCCACTGTGGGTCCTGAGAACCAAACGGGGGTCCTCTGCAAGAGCAGCAAGCCCTCTTAATCACTGAGCAATTTCTCCAGTTCTCAGGGATCTTGGGTTTTAGACTTTTTTAAGTTCTGCATTTATCAAGCTTCAGGTACATTCTACAGGGAAAAAAAAAAAAACCCAAAAACCTCTTATGACTGCTTTCCAGCCTGTGACAGGCGCTGTGTTTCTGGAGGAAACAATGAGAGAATATATGAGCAGGTGTCATATATGACAAGCTTGTGTGCAGGATAGCCAGCCTAGAGAGAAGAGAAATGGGCCAGTGTTTGCAGAATGATGGCTCAGAAGTGACCAGAGGGGGGCGCACGTGAGCTAGATACCGTTCGGAGAAAGAGCTGTTGTATTCAGAGCAGGGCCAGGCAGGAAGGCACTGAGAGGAACCAGTTCCAGGGGTACAGTGATCAGAGCAGGAGGGTGGACCCCTAGAAAGTTAGAGCAGGTCATCTCCAGGAAGATGACCCAGCTGCTACGGATTTGAGAACTGTTCTTCTGGGCTCTGAACCCCACCTCCCCAGTCGGGGTAGGAGGAGGGAGCTTAAGGGACCCACTCAAGTGAGGATAGCTCCTGGGGAGCAGGAGCTAGGGAAAGAGGAATCTGAAATGACAGACTTCTGGAGTCTCTGGCCAGTGCTGGCAGTCAGTCCAGGACTCAGGACTAGGGCAGGAGGTCCACACTGAGTGACAGGTACCAGCTAAAGTATATGGGAGCATGTGTGTATGCTATGGAAGTTAGTTGCCCAGTCGCTTCACGTGAGCAAACCCTGAGCTCTGGCGTAGGGACCAATCAATGTACACTTTTGCTTCAGCTTCTACCACTGAGCTCTTTGCTTGACAATGAGATACTGAGGGCCATGGGCAGGGCTAGTGAGCATACCTTGTCCCCTGGCTTGAGGGCAGTGACTCATCAAACACCACTGTGTGCAGAGAGGGTGAGAGACCCACTGGTGCCAGCCACCACGTTCATGAAAACTCAATACCTGGAAACTGGAAAAGTCAGTGGTGTCAAGCTTAGGGACCATTCCTTAGCTATGCTTGTATTAGTCACGGATAGCCTTAAGTTTTTGGTTTAGGAAGTGTGACCACATACAAATGTTAGAGGAACATGTGTGTCATGATGATCATCCCTACCAGGGTAATTACACACCGTGGTTATTTATAACTAAGTTTTCCATCACTATTCTGGCCTCTCAGAGAGCATGACATTCATTATGTGACAGTGTTTGTAGTGACCCACTCAGTCTGGGAGTCTCCAACAGCAAGCACACTGAGCTGTGAAAAGAATGCCCCCACAGTGGCATCCTCCCTGGGCTACCAAACATTAACTTTTAGAGAAATACAGATGAGATCCCATAAAGAGCTGTCAAGATAGAATTACTTTAAAATGCCCATGTGAAATTCTCCAGCCTGCATTGGACGCCATGCTGACACTTACTTTACACATCAGGAAACAAGCCCGTTTTGGTATGGGTGTAATTAAAATCACCCATCACATCCACACTGCTACGTTCCTCTTGGCTAGAAGAGTTAAATGCTTGAAGATCATCAGGGAAGAGGAAAACGGCATGTGAGCTCCTGCAGATCCTCGGGCATCTTGGGCTGCAGGCTCAGGGCCTCTGGGCTGTAGCCTAGAATGGACTGGTCCACACTGCAGGGCCCTGGAGGATAGTGCCTGCACCTGAAATCCCTGGGTGGTCTAGGCAGAACAGAGTCTCAGCCTACTGCCCCTGCCTGCGCACCCCACCCCCCTGCAGATAACTTGTACATAGCTCTGGCAAGATTTCATCTTTCTCTTTTAATTGGTGTCTTTAAATTGACCTTCTTCCCTGAAGGGCACTCTGGTGGCACTCACTGAAAAGAATTTTGAGGACACCATTGCACAAGGAATAACTTTCGTCAAGTTCTATGCTCCATGGTAAGTGACAATCTTAGACATTGTGCAAGTGCACGTTTTTCAGCTGAGCAACCATCTTGCAGGCAATGATGCCACTGTACCCTGTCAAGCAACAGTTTTATTTACTTTAAAGCTTAATCTACTCAGACACAAATCAATGGAAATGAGCTGGGATGGGCTCTTAGAGCCATTCAGTACGTGACCTAGTTACCTGAACCTTCCTGCCATGTAGTCCTCAGGGACCAGAATAAGAGTGCATGGAGAGCAAACTGAGACCTAGAAGATAACCCAGCACTGGAGGATGATAGACAGCGTCCATGAATGGCTGGAACTCTGCATGTTCTTTGATGCCCCTGAACCTCTTTTCCTTAGCTATACAATTGCACCAACAATTTGTCTTCCTAACTTCAACAGTCACTTGAACTGGAAGAGTATTAGATGATTGACCCAAATACACAGAGGTCACTGTGTCACTCTTATCAGCTTGTACACTCTGTGTACTCAGGACTGGAGGTTAATGAGGACATGACACATGAATTGGGCAGCTTTTGCCCTTGAATAATATAGAAAGGCAGTTTGGTATGGTGATTCATGCCTGAAATCCTCCACGAGGGAGATGAAGGCAGGAGGACTGAGTTTGTTGCCAGCATGGGCTACAACGAAAAGAAACAACTAAAAAGAAATGGCTCCCTCCCACATAATGCCATTAGAATTATTCTTTATTCAGAAACTAAGGCTGTAGAGATAGTGAAGAAAGAAGACCCTCCTATATAGTGGGGGATGGACAGAGAGAGTGACTATCGGCCCAAGAGGCAAGATTTAGGCCTAACTTTGTTGTGGCCTCTTGGACAAGGCTAAAGTGTCAAGGAATCTCCTCCCAGACAGTCCAGTCTAAACTGTCCGCCCTGCCCCCTGCTGTTTCCCCTGATGTCATGATCAGCCAGCTCCCCTCACCATGTCGTGTAAGTGGGCACAGAATCTTTCTTTGCAAACCTGTCAGGTTATCAGGTGTGGCATGACTTTCAACTCCTTTTTAGGAAAGGAAGGGCCCATGTATGGCCAGGGGGGGAGCATTTGATGGTATGGATTCTGAGGATATTGTGACTGTCACGCAGGAGAAACAGAATGACTTGACCCAGATCTCAGCACAGCTGCTTTTGTTCTCTTCTAGGTGTGGCCACTGTAAAAATCTGGCTCCTACCTGGGAAGAGCTCTCTAGAAAGGAATTCCCTGGCTTGGCTGAGGTCACCATTGCAGAAGTAGACTGCACTGCTGAGCGCAACATCTGCACCAAGTACTCGGTGGGTACTTCAGGGAAAACACGCCCGGGAAGGGAAGCGGAAGATTTGGATCATTGCCCCAGGGGACTGTTATTTGGCAGCATGGAATGAGTTCATTCTGCCCAGTCCTCTCTAAAGAGTGGCTTGTATCTTCTTGAGTTGTGTCATGTGAAATATAAAGGCCAGCCTTCTCTGCTGCAGTAAATGCTCTGAGGCCTTGCTGGTCTAGCTGTACAGTACTGAGGTGCCAGCTGTTGAGAGAGAGGTATGCTGCCATCATGGCCCTGCCTGCCCAGTAGCCACCTGGTACCCTGTCCTAACTACCCAAGGGCTCAGCATTCAATTATAAGCAAGCATCCTGAAGGATGGGGCTGAAAGAAATCAATAAATCTAAACCACTCTTGGAAAAGGTCATGGCTAAAGAGCCAGTCTGTTTAACCGCCATGCTTATTCTGAACTCATCACATAATGGATGTTATAGTCTATTTATGTTGGTTCTTGTGTGGTGATGGGCATGGAACCAGCGTCTCATTCATACCGCAATCACACTGTACTACTGATTAGTCACAGAATTTCCCAGCCTTACCTGTGTGCTCAACTCCCCAAAGAGTTGATGTCCACCTTATTTTTTGATTTTTTTGAGATGAGATCTTTCGATGAACCTAGAACTGATTGGCTTGACTGGCCAATCTCAATTGCTGGACTCCCAGCACTGGAATTACAGATGGGCACCCCAGGACAATTCAAGTCCTCATACTTACTGAGCCCTCTCCCCTGCCACTCAGTTTTCAAGGAACAATTTAGGTGTGATTTAAAGTTTTTTTTTTTTTTCTTTCTCTCAAAGGTACGAGGCTATCCCACATTGCTGCTTTTCCGAGGCGGTGAAAAAGTTGGTGAGCACAATGGAGGTAGAGACCTTGATTCTTTACACAGCTTTGTCCTACGCCAGGCGAAGGATGAACTGTAGAAACACCCTCTGAGGTCATGCGCCCTGGCTTCATGTTCTTAGTGCATAGGAGTGGCATCAGATGGACATCCGTGTCTCCACTGTGGTTAGCCAGAAAGCGGTGTGTACTCCGCCTGTGCACTTCTCCGCTACCACACACTACGAATCATGATTGTGTCTCTAATCATAGCTGGGCAAATATTTTCAGTGACAATCCATCCTGTAACCTTCTCTTGACAAAATTAAATTGGCTGCCCTTGCAACTAAAATACAGGAAAGCCGAATTGCTGAACTCTGTTGGCCCCTGGCATCATTCAGAAGCAGGTTTTTGAACTGCCTGGATTCTGGAAAGGTGACCTAAGATGCGATTGATGTCCCTCTGTTCTGAAGGTTACAATTGACTTCATAATGTGGTGATCCATAGTTTGGAGATTTCAAAACAAAGTCCAAGAGTTTTGAAGATAGCTTCATAGCCACTGTTGGGTTCCTGCTTCTGTTAGTACGTGTCTAGTTGGGGAGGTGAGCCATAAGTGGTACTTCTGCTGTATGTTCCAAATATTCGTGTTATTCAAAGGATCCTCTTGTCTGCTTTGCATACGGTGGAAGGTGTAGATGTCTTCTGCAGAAAGTGAGGGTATGGGAAGGTCCTCACCTTTCTGTTTGCCTCCTGGGGCAAAAGCACCTGATGGGCTTCCCAGGCCCAGGGAGACTTGGCAGCTCTGCTTGGGCCTTCCTAGCAACAACTCTGATTCTCTTCCCAAGCAGTCCTTTTAGCAGCTTGCTCTATGACGTCCACCTTCAAGGAGGCTGACCGCCTACTGTATGAGCAGTGGGATCCATTTAACCTCAAGACCAAAGACTGCAGTTGGCACAGCTGCCCCAGCCCAAGGTTGGGTGTCGCACTAGCTTCTTATAATTCTTGCCATCCTGGATATTAGACATTGCTGCTCTCTCACCCTTGCAAAGATGCAACTAAGCTCGAGCCATGCCTCTCTGTCTCTCGCCATTGAGTTGCTTGTCCTCAGAAACTCTTTGTGCCCAGACACTTCACCCACTTTCCATGAGCAGGTGAACTCAACTCCTGGCACAGAATGTATGGTAAGGAGACTAGAAACAAGACCATGTCTACTTCCTGAGCAGCGAAGGCACCTGCCAGTCTGTTACGGACATTTATTATTAATCATGCATGGGTCACAGCTGTCCTTGAGAACCAGCTCTAGAGGCCCAGCTCACAGTGGCTTCAGCTTTGCTTCGTGTGTCTTGTATTAAAAGAAAACTCAAGTGGTACAATTGATTTATACTTTCTAAATAAAATTTTTTTTAAAGAAAAAAGTCTGGTCTTTGCTTAAATGTTACAGCAAAATGGATATAAAATAGACAATAAATTATAGTTTCTATTTACAAAAAAAAAGCTGTAAGTACAGTTACAGATTGTAAACGTATTATTTAATAATCAGTAATCAGTTTAGTATGAAATTGGCTTCCCAGTACATGATTGTGAAAAAGACATCTAAAAAATACTCTATGATTTTAATCTGAGGCTTACTTTCTACGAGAGGAAATCGTGGTTTTGGTTCACAAACAGCATGCTCACCTCGACAAACCCATTCTTAGGGGCCAAGGGGCCTTCCTCTGTGGGTTTCTGCTGTAGACTAGCCCTGAGCCATGGAATGCTACTGTAGGGAAAAGGCAAAGAACGGAGTTAGAGAGCTGGTGTGTTGGAGCCAGTGTTCCTGATGGTAAAGAGCTTGTCAAGCTAGTCTATCCATGACTTGAGGTGCAGGGTCACTTTCTGCTGTTATGTGGGTCAGAAGATGCTTCATGGCCCCACCACAAAGTGTGGTCCATCCACTTTGGGTTCTAGTAAAGAATTCAGGAGTGGGGGTAGGGGGGAGGCATAGAAATGCTACAGTTTTGATATGGCCGAAATTAGATGCTCACACTGCCAAGAGTAAACAAAAAACATGGAACTGCAATGAGGCAGCTCCAACAAGCGCATTGATGGCCAGAGTGCAGGTCTTGGGTGAGCTGGCTTTGCTAGGAATGCAGTCTGATTGAGCTCTCTCCTTCCCCGTTCTGTTATCTGCAAGGTCTCCCAGTGATGGGTGCTACTGAACCTGCTGCTCTTTCAGCCAGGGATTATTTAGTATTCCTTCAAGGTTATTCTCTTACACCACAAACAAGCTAGACCTAAATGATAAAACTAGTCTGGGTGGGACTGGGGAAAGTGAGTACAGGCATGGGTCTGTGGTTCCCAGGCCTGTTCTGAAAGCATTACAACTTCCCACAGACAGCAAATGCTCGGTTGTGAGCTGGGAAGTCATCAGCAAGGTCCTCATAAAATCCCCCTTGGGCTAAGGCACCAGCAGGAGATACTCCCAGAGGGCCATCATCCCCTTCACTGTGCTTCTTAATGTGTTTTAAGGCAGATTTAGTTAGGAGTCCAAGGCAGAGTCACTCCCACAACTGGCTTCGACTTAATGGCATCCACAAGCTCTCACAACCATATTCCTGTATTTTTTCAAGATGACGTTGGAGTTGTCATCAAAGTAAAGAACCGAGATGGCATTCAGCTTAGTTGGCGCACAGCATGGTTTGGGAACATATTCGGGATTCATAAGGTGAACCTGTTCCAAAATAGAAATGGGAGAGGGACTGTTAGAAGAAACTCCTGGTCTGGGCTTGATCCCACTTACAGACAAGTTAGGATACTCACCAAGGTCTGTACAATGGCATGGTTGGTGGCATTCATGTGCGCATTGAGTGGGAAGGAACACTCTCCATCACAGTAGTTGGCAGCATAGCCTTTGGGTGCAATGATCCAGTCCTTGAGAGGAAACAAAAGGAAGCAGTGGGGGGTCACCGGGTGCCCCTACATCATCTCCCTATATCCACTCCCAGTGGCCCCAGGCACTAATCACAGTGCACAGTATGGGGACAGGCAGGGAGGTTTGGGAATTGCCCAAGTTCACGTTCAAGTGAAGCTATGGTATGAACCTGGTTGGTCTGACCCTAGAGCCTCCAACCTTTCCATGGACTCATATGACTTAGCTGGTACAAACCTGCTAGGTCTGCAATTGAGCTTGATGTACAAATGCTCCTTGGCTGAAAATGCCCATAATACACCTAAAATACTAAGCATCCTAATTTGCAGTTTGCCGTGTGGCTAACTGGGAGTTGCAGCTTGCTGCCGCCACCCATCATGTCCAGTGATCCAGTGATGGGGAGACTCTAGCCTGGAAAGATTCAACTTCAAAACTCAGGGCACTATACCTAGTGAACACATACTATTCCTACATCATCAGCTGAAAAGTAGTCAGAATACTGTAGGTCAGGATCTGTCACGTCTACTTAAACCCAAAGGTCATCTGCAGGATCCCACTGTGCTCCTGGCAAAATAATGCCACCTAAGTACAGAACAACTGTGAGCTCCCATTTCATCACATTTAGCTGTACTTGGTGTGAGCCAAACATGTTCTTCCATTGGGCGAGCCAGTGTGGAGCTACTGAAGAAGTTAATCATCAGATTTTTCTATAATTTGATTATTTAAAAGTTTAAAAAAAAAGCACTTTGAAATCTGATTTAAAAGTAAAAGCTGCTTAAATCATCCAAATAAATTTTCATACCCCTCAAGCTTTGAAAGAATGAGGAAAGAGGAAAGCCCACATAGGGGGTGGGGTGCTTAGTACACCAGCTGGCCGGGTGTCTTACTCCTTTGGATTCAGAATCAACTCATCCCCAAAGCTAATGACGGCAGCCGTCGATTGGTGAGATGCCCACTGAGGCCCATCCTTACTCTGACGACTCACCTGCCACCCCAGGTCCTGGAAGCTCACATACAGCTCATGCTTTTTGCATGCTGTTTTTAGTTCACTGCTGTTGTAGTCTGCTGGGGAGATAAAAAAGATGTATTCATTAACTCACTCGCTCCTTCATTCATATGAGAGCTCTCCTCTCACACATGCCAGGCACCGTGTGATGCTCAGGACAACTGAACCAGACCCCTGTTGACACACATGGTCCCCATTTGTTTCCCTAAACTTAGAACTCCTGGAGAAATTAATCATTTGATTTTTTTCTTCTAATCTTATTTAAATAATACATTAAATAATATATGATATCATTTAATACATAAATAATACATTAAAAGTGGTTTAAGTAATCCATTCCCCTTGGGTTGTGGAAGAATGTGATAAGAGTTAGAGAAGTTGGCACTGGGTTAGGCGAGCTTTAGAAAACACTGCACTTTGCCCATCCTGGGGGCTGCTGTGCCACCCTGTTGATTCCATGCACACCTTTAAATAGCAGATGTGCATCATGTAGGTCTGCTTCGTGCAGGGTCTACAGACATGTGTGGAGATCCCCAGTCATTACCAGGGAGCTGTGCCAGACAGGAGTCACTATTCAAATGTGGACTATCCAGTCATGACATGGGGCTTGAGCGATAGCTTCTGGCCCATTTTGGGGGACATTGGGATGTTACACTCTCCTGTTCATGGGCTCCAGCCTCCCTGCTGTTGTTTGATGGGAGATGTCATTCTGTAAATGTTTCTCATGCTGGTTAATGAATAAAGCACTGTTGGTCAATAGGAAAGGAAGATAGGAGGGGCTAGGAGATAAGGAGGAAATAGGAAGTAGAAAGGAGGGGTCAACATGGAGAGCCAAGATGGAGAGTCTGGAGAGAACAGAACCGCCATTCCTCCGCTCCTGGTAAGACCATGTGGAAATACATAGAAATGGGTTAATAATTAAGACAGAGCTAGCCGATAAGAAACTAGTACCGGGCCAACAGAATTATATCTAATACAGAGTCTCGGTGTATTAATTGGGGCTGGCATGGTGGCAGGACAAGACCAGCAGCGGGCGGAAAAACCATACTCCTTACAGTTGTTGAGCTCTTTATATGTGCCCTAAAACAATCATTCCAAAGTCATCAGTTCCCCAAAACAATCTGCTGAACCTGCCTGTACAGTTCAGGAGCCACTGGCCTTGCTTAACACCCTCACCGGGAGGCCTGGGGACAAGGTGATGCTTATCAGCCCATCAGAGAAGCTTTTCTGTCTTATGCGCATCTTCTGCCTGGTGCCAGGGAAACAGAGGAATCATGTATAGCTTCTGTCCTCCAAGAACTTGGAGACTCAAAGGGGCTGTGTGAGAAATGTTTGCAGGTAGCTCAACTACAACTCAATACAAATGACTATCTTCTAACTATGACACTTTGTGAGGTCTTCATCACATGTTGCCAGCTAAACTTTTCAGGTTTCAAACCATGAGCTAAAATAAAACTTTTTCTCATATAGTACTCAGTCTCAGATACTTTGTTATAGCAACACAGAATGGACTGAGTTACCACACACAAACCCTGAACCATGATGCTCAGCCACATATCCAGATGTTAGTACATCGTGATGCTGTGAAAGAGCTGTGTACCCGGCCGGACAGGGTATAGAAACTCCAGGACCCCAATGATCTGGCCATTCCTGAGTTTATAACAAATTGGTAATCTTAAATACAGAGCTTCTGGAGAAGGCTATTAAAAATAAAGAAGTGGGCACAGAAAGTCCTCAATTTGTAGGAAAAATAGACACGATGTGGGTGGCTTGGAGACTTCACCTCAGGATGGTGTCTGATAAGGTGTGGCATTCCTGCCTGGGACCTTGCTCTAATGAGTTGGCTCACATTAGAATGGAACTGAAGGTCGCCTGGTTGGCGTATTTGAAAACTGTTGTTAGAACGCAGGCAGGGACAACTTCACCCATGGACTTGAAGCTTCTGTTCTGCGGCAGACCCAAGATCCCATAGTCCAAGAACTCCGTCCACTTCCCAACCATCCCAGCTGTCTGAGAAGATGCCTGGACTGATTCCCTTGGTTCTCAACACAGAGAACTTTCTGGAAAGAGAAGCTATTTCTTTTAGAGCCAGACATTGACGTTTTTGTTACTAAGGACTGAGGCCAGAAAGAGGAAAAGCAGGAATTCAGTCCTCCTATTTCCTTTCCTACAGATATTCTCAGGCCAAGCTTGTGTTTCCTTATAGTTCCATGGTGAGGGCTGGCAAAGAGCGTATAAATATTTGTGAAGGTCCCTGACCTTTGGAATATTTGTTTCTGTAGCTCAGGGGTGGGTGCCCTGAGCTCCACATGGAATGATGCTGACCCAATTTTTGTGTGTGTGTTGTTTTTACAGTTTGACAGGCAGCTGGAAAAAAAAAAAAATCCTCTTACCCACACCACCATTGATATCTTTACAAAAGGGATGTGAGGAAGGCCAGGTTAAATTAAAAAAAAAAAAGTATGCAGCTAAAATTTAATAAGAACATATCTACTTAAATGGGGGAGAAAAAAAAAAAAACCCTACAGCTTTGTCGAAGTGAGGGCTGAGAAAGGGGAGGGTACAGAGTTAGAGGCAAAAACAAAACCATGAAAATACAGAGCCACTCTAGCCCCAAGGCCAACGATATAGCCCAGGGACACAGTGTCCGACTCAGTGGGCATCCTGTGCACAAATCTGGGAGCCACCAGCAGTGCCACCAAAGGGACACTAGAGCTCCATCCAGACCTACGTCAGAACCACCAGGAACAAGTACCATGCTGTCCAGGTGCGTCTGAGCACACAAATGCCTCTGGTGCTGCCTCGGAGGATTGGAGGCAGGGACACCATTGCTCCAGGCAGAGCCAAAGTCTGCCTTTGGCCCCCAGGATGCCAGGCAGCCCAGGGACACACTGACACGAACACTTGGTACCAATCTCAAGATACATCTTCAAGAAGGTCTGGCTGCGCTGCAATAAGCTTAACACAGCAAGCAAAGCCTGGCCCTCAGCTGCCCTATATAGTGCCTTGCTTCAAGACAGGAGGGCAGGGTCAGTGAGGTGGCTCAGCAGATAAAGGTACCTGCTGCCAAGCCCGATGGCCTAACATCCCAGGTCTTTTCTTTCCCTCCCTCCCTTCTCTTCCTTCCCCTCTCTCTCTCCTTTCTTCCTCCCCCTTCTTTTAAAGAGGACACCCACTGTTATCCCCCCTTTCTCCTCAAATGACAAGGGCAAAACCCAAACAGTAGCTGTTAAAAAGACACCCCTGTTTCCATGGCTTAGCTGTCCTTGCCTTATCTCTAGTCTTCTAAGCCCCACCTCATCTCTAGAAAGCTCTCTCCCTCCCAATCATTCCACCTGGGAAACAACATGCCCTTGAGGGGATGTGGGAGGTGCAGGCTCCTTGTGTTGCCTGGTCAGGAAAGTGCAGGGGACCCACTGGGGTTCAGAGTTCTGGCTTCAGGAGCCTCAACAGACTGCAGAGGGGCTTGGCTTTCTGTCTAGATTTGGTTTATACCAGTATGATCAATGCCGGTGGTCACATAAAGGCCCGGTCCAGTGCAATTCTAGCATTTCAAGGTTATATAGATGCTACTTAACTAATATGTGATCTCCTCTCAACCATACGCCTTAAAGCAGACAAGATTTCCCTTAAACGCCGAAGCTTCATGGGATGCATGTGACTTCCTTTCACTCAGTCACTCCTAGGCTGAGGTGCCCCCTGACTCCCTGGAGCCTCCCATGGCTGGTAGTCATTCTAACTTCCTGGGCATCTTACGTCTACCTACTCTGCTTTACTAAAGTTGAGAATCAAAAGGCTCGGGACTAGACCAGAAGCGGTTCAGATTTTGAGGTTTTTTTTCAGGTTCCACAATATGTGTATCACCTTTCCTAAGCTGGCTGACCTTGTGTGATACAAAAACCCCCAAACATGAAACTTTTTCAATGTGGACAGGATACTCAAATGGTTTTCTAAGGCATTCATCCTGGTTACTTCTCTTGTGCTGGAAGCATACTGAATGGACCCAGTGGAAAATGTAAGGGACTGGAGATATGAGCCATCAATAACTGGGTCAACGGCACATGGAGCTGTGAAAGTCACTTTCCTGAGAGTCTTAGAGATGCATGCTGGGCTGGGTGGGAAAGAGGTGGTAGGAGAATTTATCCCCAGATGGCAACAGAGCAATGACACAGCCTTGCCTGGGGATGCTCAGTCCTGAATGAGGATGCTCTGTCCTGAGGGCTTGCTATTTCATAGGCAGAAGCAGCAAGAACAAAATTTTACATCATCTGGTAATAGCGATAGGGAAGACTGGGCCACAGCTCGGTGGTAAAGCAGCTGTCTAATGTGCACAACATCCTGGTTTCAGAGCCCAGTGCCACCAAAAGAAAATCCCCCTCCCTTGCAAGCAAGAAAAAAAAAAATAGGGGGTGTCAGTAACAATTCCAATGGTCATCTGATAAAACAAAGACCAGTTCAAAGTCACAGCATCAGACTCATTAGAAGAAATGGCATAAATGGCCCTCTCCTCCCCAGATGTGTCATGTAGGGTCTAGAAAAAGTATCTACAGCAGAACCTGGACTTGCCAAAGGAAATCACCCTTCAAGGCCATCCATTCATTGCTCTCACAATGGATTGGCCAAATGGTATCTCAGTCCCCCACAAGACAAAACAGCAGAGGCCAAGAGAAATATTATAAAAGAGGGGAGAATGGCAGCCAGCAGAGACTTCAAACTACAGTTGAAAGGCAGGGGTTCAGAGCGCACTAGACTGGCAAGAACTGGGGCTGGGAAACAATTGCCAGATTCATAAGAATCCCTCCTGGGCTACATAGAGTCGCTCAGCCCAGCACTGTCAAACAGGTGTAAAAACAATAAAGATATGTCCTGAGGCTGTGCAAGCCCATGAGAAAAGTGCAGATCAGCCAATGTCCACCATTCCTGTGGAGAGGACAGCTGCAGAGAAGCATGGGCACGTGGGCACCATGCAGGGACACTTCCCTGCAAACCTACGGTCCCGTGCACGTGTCGGCAGAGTCCAGCTTGAAGTCAAGTACAAATGGTAGAGCAGGCAGGGGTGGGCTCTGGGGACTGGGAGGCAGCAGGTGGGCTCTTGGCCACTGCCTTGTGGTGGGCAGGCCTGTCTGTCTCCGGAATCCTCAGCTCAGTTCCTAAAATAGTTGCTTGTCATGTTTCACTCTGATGACAGGTGATTTGATGAATGATGCTGACATCTTTACTCAGGTGCAAGATGTCCCTGGTGGGCTTCTTCTAGACAAGGCCTCTTTGGGAAGAAGTGTCAATGCCCTGGGATTGTACTATAGAAGGAGTGGGTAACCAAAGAGTGGAAATCTCTCCCTCTGATATTCTGAAAGGCTTGGGGGAAGGAACTGGCTGGAGCCACACTGGTAAGATGGCATCTTTTCTGAAAATGAACTAGGTCACGAAGGGAAGCCTAGAAAGAGACATGCCATTCTCCAAGCACAGGCCATATTTTCAGAAAATCTTCCTTCTTTCCTTTCTTAGTTTTCCTGGGGTTTGTTGCTGTTGGGTTGATTAGTTGGTTTTAGGGTTTCTATGTATTTACTTTGGGACAGTTTTATACTATATCCAAGAGGTTTGTTTGGCTTCCAGCTCTCTATGTAGGCAAGGATGACTTTGAACTTCTAATCCTCTTTTGTGCACCTCCCAAGTGCTGGGATTATGGGCATGCACTACCATACCCAGTTAATATAGCACTAGGGATCAAATTCAGGGCTTTGTCATGCTAGGCAGGCACTCTGTCAACTGAGCTGCATCTCCAGCCATAGAAATCCTTCCTCGGGTAGAAGTCTGTCCCTCTGCATGTCCACTAATAGAAGAGCCCAGTGCATAAAGCAGAACTTTGAGGAGCTGAATTCGAGGCCCTTCTCATGCCCTTGGAGGTTCAGAGAAGATGGACATGAGAGGCCCCTCTGTATCAGTGCTTTCGTGGGGTCTGAAATATATGAGATCAGAGAACAAAGCAAACTTAGAAGGCCTGGGTTGGAAAGTGGAGTGGGGAGACCAAGGGACAATAGGGATCCTTAGACCTGGTTACAAATTAGGCCACTTTGATACCCAAAATTAATGTTAACTCATCAGTTTGAAAGAAAAAGTTGAAAGGGACTTGGAAAAAAGTAATTGGTTGGCTTTGCTAAAGCCAAAACCAGAGACAACACATTTTCTTAATTAAAAAGAACTGGCCTATCTATATATTGGGCAGGCAGGGTGAGTGTTGAGTCAATCATGTGAAATTATAATTTTAAAAAGCAATCAACACTGCAAGGGATGCCTCCACAGTCTGAGGTCCTAGTAAGCAAACTGGCCACAGTTTCCAAATGAAGCCTACCACTGGCTGAATTCGTCATCCGCCCCCAGAGGAGAATGCAATTCAATTCAGCGGTAATTCAATTCAGCAGACTGCCTCCCGGGAGGGAAAAGCAAAGCAGGCATTTTTTTATATTTTTAAGTCCTCAATCCTGACTGTTTCTAATGGTAAATACAGGAACACCCATGCTGTTCAGTGCTTCCAAGAAACACTATGACAAGGAGAAGCAAAATGTCCTATCACACTGGGTGGGGCTACTCAAGGGTCACATCCAAGTCACTGGCATAAGAGAAGGCTTAGTTAAGTCACAGCCTAAGATCTGGAAGACACTACCTCCCAAAGAAAAGTGGGGTGCTTGGAGAGGCTGCACCCATTCTTCCTGGGTACCAAAGATGGCAGTTGTGAGCTACCTTAAAAGTAAACAGCCTCCTTGGGTTCCCAGCTCGTGCTCTGAGCGCTTATACCTACAAGTGTTATAAGGAATCTTTGAAGAGGATTATGTACCGCATGACTGCATTTCACCAAACCCCCACACTCTGTCCAGGACACAGAGGGGTGAACTGAAGCTCAGGCCCACCGGGCATGTTTCTCCAAAGTCACAAGGTTGCCAGAAAGAGAAAATTCTGACAGAAATGCCCAGTGCAGATACTCAATGTCACACTTGTTTTCTGGACTGTTCAATACCCAAGGAACCCAGGTCTCACACTAGTGTGAGCCATGTTACAGCTGGAACCCAGTACCACTTCACAGTTGCTATGCATTTGCTTCTAGGAACTTCCATTTCCCGCTCCTCCCAGTTCTAGAAAAGACTTCTGAATGTTGGAATTAATCCTCAGACACTGGGGGCTGCTTCTTCTCTCATGCTCTTTGGATTTGCTTATCCCAGAATAGAACTGAGTGCCAAGGTAGGCTTGGCCAATCAGAGCATTTCCTAGGCAGCAAGATGATCAGGGTTGGGTATGTGCTAAAAGCTAGTCCAATGAACAGCAAGCCTGGCTTCCTGCTGAACCCAGCAAGGCAGAGAACTCTTGTATTTGAAGATGAGGTTGCCAAAATCACCCCGAGACTCTGGGAAACCTTCCCATACACTGACTGTCTTTGTGAGGAGTCCACTAACAAGAAACATGAGAAACAGAACTTTCTAGTATCATCACTTCCTAACAATCCAACCAAACTGAAGCAAGAAACCTGAACTTCTCAGTATATTGAGCCAATAAAATCTACTTTAGAGGCTCTGAGTGGACTATTGTTCTCAGCCAATAGTTCATGTAAAACCCAGAGAGCATGAATGGTTTGGGCTATTTGTTTTTGTTATTATTTTGTTTTGTTTTTTATATGCATTGGTGTTTTGCCATGGGTGTCAGGTCCCCTGGCATGTGGGTGCTAGAAAGCGAACCCAAGTCCTCTGGAAAAGCAGTCAGTGCTCTTAACCACTGAACCATCTCTCCAGCCCCATATAACATTTATGCTTCCTTCACACTTCCTTCACACAAGTTGAGTGTCCCAAGTCTGAAAAGCACCATTTGATGGGTGGTGGTCAAACCAAAATGCACTAGAAAATAATGCATAAAATTAACATAGGACTTATATATGTAATGTAAATAAAGAATATCTCCATGAAATCTCACTATGTATATATGCAAGTATCCAAAAAATATGAAGAAAAGAAACACTTGAAAACTTTCTGGCCTCAACAAGAAGACCTAGGTTCAGGTCCCAGCATCCACATGGTGGGTCACAACCATCTGTACTAGTTCCAAAGGCACATCTGATCTCCAGGGACACCAGGCACACACATGATATATACATATACAGTCAGCCAGGCAACACATTTATGAGTTAAATAAAACAAATTCAAATATTAAAATAATTGAAGTGCTTCTATTTGATTTTTGTAGGAAGGAAAAAAAACAAGAGTTGTAGAAATCTCATCCAACAGAAGAATGCTTGTCTGAATCAAGAGGCAGTAGGGATGCCTACAGCTTCAGCCTTTGGGTAATAGTGCTCTGAGGGTCCTAGGATCCCATACAGGTATCCGTGACCAGGACATTACCATCATTTTTAGGACCACCCACACTAGGCACTATATTTGCTGAGGAGAAGCGGTCCAACATCTGGGGCCATAGGTACCTTTGTCCCGATGGGTACCAAGGCTCTATCCACACTCACCTGAAGCACTGGACCCCCGGGACACATCCTGTGATTGGGTGGAACGGTTGCGACTCTGCTGCCGACGCCGACTGGAGGCTGACCGGGTGGTTCGCACGTGGACCTCGCTCACCTTGAAGAAGGCCACCATGAAGGGCTGCTTGTCGTAAGGGCCGTCTCTGCCCACCAGGCCCGCCGCACGGGGGTTGATGTGGAGTCCTTTAATGCAAACCAAAGCCCACCCTTCTTTACTCCACAGAACCTTAGTCTCAAAGCCACATGATGAGGTAACTCTATTCTTCCACATACTATGTGGGCAAGGCCCCATACATTCTCCCACAGGCTGGCTCCCTTTTGATGGGCAGACTCAAAATGTGCCTCCCAAAGTACAGGATCAACCCAAGGAACGCTCTTCCTTCTGGTCCTCTTACCCATTGATATTCATACTTCCTTCCTTGCTATATTTCTCTCCATCAGTGGAACAGCTATGCAGGAGTTGAACCGAAGCAAAGAGCTACTCAGGAGGGGAAGTTTCCGCAACCTTAATCAGACAGTCAGATTCTAACGACCTTCCTCTTCCTGTGCTCTCCCTTTCCTTCCTAGTCCCTTCCATCTCTTCTATCTTTTGGTACTGGGTATAGCTCAGGGACTCACACATGCTAGATGAGTGGCCTATGGTTCAGCTGTATGCCCCAAGTTTCTTGCCTTTCTCTGGGGATTCTTCTACCTGGCTCAGCCTGGGGAAACTGTCCTCCTCTCACTGGGGACATGGCTTGAGCTTGCTTCCAAGCTCTTCCTAGAAGAAAGGTTTTTGCTTTTCGATGTGGTCAGGAGGAAATAGAAAACAAGGTCATCCTGGCGCCGAGACCAGGGCTACAAACAATGGTCCCACCACGGCTGCTACAGAGGAAATGAATGAAAATGACTGTGGGTAGATGCTGGCACTGTGTGGGTCACAACTCACCATCCTGAGTCACCACACTCAGCTGGAGTCCCATGTTGTGCTGTGGTGTCACCACCCACAGATTGCTGGTTGCTGTGATGTCAAATTCCAGCCAGCCTTCTTCTGAGGCCCACACTACACGGGTGTCCAACAAAAATAGGTCAGAATCCCTGAAAAAAAAAAAAAAAAAAAAAAAAAAAAGCAAAACGGCACAGAGAGTCAGAGAGTCACCTGCTGTCTTGTGGTACATTCTTATTGTGTCTTGTCATTAAAGAAGGCTGAATCAGATCATGCCCATTTGGGTTACCAGCCACAGCTCTGCCTAAAGGCATCCTACAGAATACAGACGCAACATAATAAGGAAAGATGCAGGACATGAGCTATCAGGGGACTCTTTAAATTTGCCAAGACCTACTGTTTCCCACTCTAAATCTTTCTTGGAATTTGGGTAAATTACAAATATTATTTGATTTTGCTCAATATTTAGTTGATTTTTATTATGGCATTGTTTATTTATGATGCTATTTATTGGTTAATAGCAATACTTATGGTTAGTGAACTCTAAAAAGTAGGTAAGCGGGAGCAATAGGTATAAAACAAGATTATATCAGAATCCAAATAATATATAAAAATTAGGTATCTCAGATCAAATCTCTGTAAGCACCACCAGTATAAGATATGAGATATATGTGAGTCCAAAAAAAACTTTGCATTTAGACTTACCAACCATTCCCCAAATATTTAATTATAATACAATGATGTTCATACACACACACACACACACACACACACACACACACACACACATACACACAAACAAACACACACAAACACACACACCCATTACTGGGAACACTTTTAATCCCATGCAATTTACATAAAAGATACTCAAGCTTTCATTAGTTTAAAATAAGCATCAGATTCTCATAGTGCACATTTACAGAATATACCCTTTTACCTCGCATCACTTAGTTGTTACAGTAATCATCACTGCTGGAGTATAGTTATCTCCATTTTCGGCTGGGAAACTGAGACTCAGACATGAGGTTATGGGTCAGGATCATGTAGCCAAGATGGACGCAAACAAGTATGAGAATTTAGTGAATGAACAAACCAAGGAGCTCATCTTTTCATAGCGACAGACTATCTTTCCAGATTATTTCCTAAGACATCCTGTAATAAATGAATAAAGTTCACTTCTCATTCATCGGCATTTTTTGAAGCCACTGCAACATCTGAAGTTAGAATATTAGATTTCTTAGATGGGAAATACGTGTCTCCCTTCCAAGGCAGCTTGGAGTTAGAAGGGAACTCTATTGTCATTGTTCCCACATGTAAACAGTAGGTAGAGTGACAGGGAGTTTACTCAGCTGCTTAGCAGTCTGCAGGGGCATACTCAAGCTTGTCCTCTTTAAAGCTCTCCCCCACATGGATGTGTCACATTCCCTGTGGACAGACTACCCCCCTGTGAGCAGGGAGATGAGAGGTGTTCAGGGAAAACAGCAAGAGGGGACTGTGAGTCAATGCTTTGAAGTGGAGATGCAGAAAGACATTAAGATCCACCCTGTAAGGTCATAGAAGACCCCCATCCAGAAATAACACAGACAGCTCTGTGGGAAAAACAGCCCCCATCCCCAAAGAAAGCTGATGACATCATCGTGTTAGGGGCAGACTTTGGCTGCCACTCTCCAGAACCAAGAACTGGAGATATGTTCAAGGTAAGAGGCAGAGTGTGTTCCTACATACAGAGCCCCTGTAGGGGTCCAGTTGGTACAGAGCTTCAGCTATACAACAGGCACCCAATACCCAAGGAAATGCAATAAAGATGCAGATGTGGCGGTGTGGATGTGGTAAGGCTGGCAGACAAGGCTGGTACACAGACCTGGGATGATTATGGTTTTGTTTCTAAAGAGTGGAGTTCATAAGAAAAGATGGAGAGCTGATCATGGCAGTGAACACCCATAATCTGAGCACTACAAATCACTGTCTAAAATGGAGATGGAAAATCGAGAAAAGAGAGAAAGGAAAGGGAATGAAAGAAAAAGGAAAGCCAAAGCATAGCTCTGAAAGGAGTAAAACTTGAGACAATGGAAAGAAGCTGGTGAGGAAGATTAATTTTATATGGTTGTACTGGCTAGCTTTATGTCAACTTGACACAAACTAGAGTCATAAAGGGAAGGAAGCCTCACTGGAAAAATGTCTCTGTAAGATCTGACTGTAGGGCATTTTTTTACTTAGTGATTCATGAGTAAGAAAGAGTCCAGCCCATTGTGGGTGGGGCCAACCCTGGGCTGGCCTTTATGGGGTTCTGTAAGAAAGCAGACTGAGCAAGCTGTGAGAAGCAAGTCAGTAAGCAGCATCCCTCAAAGCAGCATCCCTCAATGGCCTCTGCATCAGCTCCTGCCTCTAAGTTCCTGCCCTGTTTGAGTTCCTGTTCTGACTTCCTCCAATGAAGGACAGTGATGTGGAAGTGTAGGTCAAATAAATCCATTCCTCCACAAGTTGCTTTGGCATGGTTTTTTATCACCGCAAAAGAAACTCTAAAATGATGGTTTATGGTCATCTTGGTGAATATTGGTTTATGGTGAATATTGGAGGCCAAGTGTAGTTGTAAGTACTGCAGGTATCTTGGGTTGTTTCCATGGTACCCATTGCTCACTACAGTGGAGATCGTGGCAGTTCTCAATGCTTATGAGACTGACTAAACAAATGCAGTCCAACAGCTACTGGTTCAAGGTGGGGAACGGGGCTTGACTTTAGGATGCCCAGGTCCTCTGTAAGGGATGGCAATATGCTAATTCCCTTTCTCATGACTATACTTTACAGTACAACTTAAAGAACGAAGGATTTCTTTTGGCTCATAGGGTTCAATTCATAATTGCTTGGACCCATGGGCAAAGGCAGAACACCCTGCCCACGGGAATATGCTATAGGGGAAGCCCTTTACTTTGAGGCTGTCTCTCCAAGACAGATGGTGAAGGAAGGGAAAGGGTGGGAAGAGTAGAAACAAGGGCAACACACCCTGTGGAATACACCCCAAGCTAGCCTCTAGGTAGGCCTACTGCCTCCCCAAATGCCACCACCAGTTGGGCCAAGAGTGTAACACACCAGCCAGTCCTGAACATTTCATATTCAAACCATAACAAGAAATAACATACAGACTTAAAGTAACGGGACTAACTGGGATAAAGAAATATCCATATATACACAGGATGTTGTGCTTCTACAAGACACTCACTGTACTATGTAGACCAGGCTGGCCCTCATCTCACAACCATCAGCCACCCCAGTGTAAGCAGCAGCAAACAACACACACAGTCTCAAAGTAGACTGCAAGAAACGATGCCTGACCTCCACACGGATGCCCACACCACACCTCCCATCTCTTCACAGAAGGGGTGGAGACAAATGGGAGCTTTCATGAGGAGAGTTCAGGTACACTCAAAAACCGTTGATTTGGAAGGTTCGTCTGCAGGATTTGGCCACAGCTCGCTGATAGAGAAGGCCACATATGCAAGTCTCCTTGTCAAGAAGCTTGTCTGGAATATTCCATTAGGAGGAATTTTTTGCAGTAGTTCTTGGCTCATGTACCAGAGGCCCATTCTTTATGGCCTTCATTCCCATCTATAAAAAGTAGAATCTAGAAATGTCCATGGTACAGGCTGAAAATACCGAGCAGGAGCTCAAATAAAGATCACAGTCAGCTACATATAGAGGGCAGTAACAGGGTTAGAATCATGAGCTGGCCTCACACACCAGGGTCAGGGTGCCTGAGAGGTTCATGCAAGCAGGCTCTCAGTGTGGCTAGCTGTGGTGAAACTCCCAAGACCTTCCTGACTTTGCTCTATTCCTCCCATTCAGAGAACAGTGCTCAGTGTGATGGCATCACTACCATCTGCTAAGGTCTGAAGGTGTCCCCCCAACGTCATGGGTTGGGAACTTATTTTCCAATGCAGAATGCTAAAGTGGGCCTTTGTGGTGTGATTAAGTCATAAAGGCCCTTCCTTCACAAATGGATGGTATCTTTGTCACCAAAGAAGGTTCCTGATAGAGGGCAGGTTCCCCCCTTTCTCTCTCCATGTTTGTACTCTTCCTACGTTCCATCCTGGTGATGATGTAAGCGGTACTCACCAGCTATGGTTCCCTAATCTTGGATTGCTCATCCTCCAGAACTATGAACTAAGGAATCTGTTCTTTATAAAATATCAATTTTGGGTATTTTGTTATACTGGAAAAAGTGGAGCAGGAAACACCCATTTATACCACGAGTGCAAGGAACTTAACAAAGGAATTAAGCTCTAAGACACAATTTCACAGCATCTAGAAACTCTCTGCCCTCCCCCCCCCCACACACACACTGATTTTCTTCAGTGACTTGTGGCCATCTTAGGTACTGACTCCCCTTTAGTGTGGCCTCCCTCAGGTAGATGGAGGTCTCTAGCTCCATGTCAGAGTACTTGCCTGGCAGCTGCTAGGATTCCAGCCCTAGCACTGGGAAAATAAGAGTCTCCAAAAAACCAACAAGATGCATCTGTGTCCTCTTAATCACACTCTGGCAGAGCTGAAATGAGAAAGCCTCTGCTAAGATACCCTGCACCACTAACTGAAGACTCCCCATCTGGTCACAGCCACACCAACTGGTCTTTTGGATTTTTACTGACAGGGCCAACTCAATTCACCTAACAACTACAACGACAAGGAAAAAAAAAAAAAAAAAAAAAAAAAAGCCTTAAAACCGAAGAAAGACATGATCTGTAAGGTACCTGTTGACTATTTTGCTCTCAACCATCACTCAGATCCCATTTTGTTTGATGAGCACTGCCACTGATGAGTGTGTCCATCCGGGGCTTCTTACCCTGCCTGCTATATATAGCTACTTAAACAATCAGTGTCTCCGTGGCCTAGACCCTATCCCAGCCTGCCCTAGCGACAAACGCAAAGAGGATGCCGAATTCCTATGCCTTTGAAGAATATATCTTAACCTTACCTATTTTAACTCTCCAATCCTACATTTCTACATCTTGTCCAATGTAGGGTAATGAAACAGTTAACATACTGCTGATTTGGTTTAGAAAAAAAAAAAAATAGGATGTTTCATAAAATAATCCTAACCACTAATGCAGCCTTCCTCTCCACATGTATGGAGATGCATGCAATCAAAGGCAATCAG